GCATGTAAACCTTATCACGCACACTACAATCATGCTAACTCAGCATCAAACACAAATCTTTGCTATGATTATTTCAATCATTGCATTATCTATAAATCTACCTTAATAATTCTGAAATAATACAAGACATAAAAATTATAAAGTTTTCTGAAATAAAAATTGTGAATTCACATTTTTTTTTTTTTTTAATCCATTGCATAGTGTCATAAGCTATTATTTTTAATAATATACAATAAATAAAGTGCAATTAACAAATCATAATGTTTTAAAGCATGATATGACACAGGACTGCAAAGAGAAGGCAAACTTGAAACAAACCCTGTAATGTCTTAGTATGTGTGTGTGTATGTAATTATGGTATAGTAGCCCAAAATCTCCTTTCTAAGGAGAGGCCTATGTCCAGCACTACTAAAGAACTACTCAAGTTGGAAGTCAACTACTAAAGGATGATGATGATGATGATGATGATCAAAGTTTTAAAGGAAGAATTTGACTTCAAATTTTATAAAAAAAATTGTATGGTATAAGGGGGCAAACGAGCAGACGGGTCACCTGATGGTAAGCAACTACCGCCACCCATGGACACCCGCAACTCAAAATTCACAAGATCGTTGCTGCCCCTGGAGTCCCTCCCGCTCAAGTCTGCAGGAGAAGGGATTTGGGCTCCGGTAACCTCACTCACTCAGTGAAAGGCAACGAAAGAATTGCTTAATTCCGTTTCCGTTTTCTGTGAGGCCGTGGTATCACTAGATATATAGATCTAGATAAAGAGACCTACGAGTATGTTAAACCTGTTAAATAGGGAAATTCCTTGGAAATACTTTACGAGTTATGGATGTTAGATTACCAAAATGCTTTAACTTCGTGTAAGTAAATTGTGGTACATTCTCCTTCAGAGGTTGTCAATTAATAATTAAGCTAACGCTTATACAACAAAAAAAAATATCATCCGTAAATAAACATTGATTAAAGAGCTTAAAAAGATAGGAATACTTACAAAACAGCAAATAATATTCTAATACACGTACACCTATAAATCCGGCTAAAACAACGATAACAAGTACACGTCAGAATTAAATGTCAAAGCTTTCATAATATTTATAGCTGAAAATAACGATTCAACATTGGCGCTGCTATGTGGTAGGCACAAAAGTTTTTTCACTAATTCACATAATGTGGGAAATGTTTGAGACCCGTCTCCATTTTTCAATTCGTGTACGTGTTTCCAAAATTCGATAATATCGGGAAATTTGTTTTGGTCAAAAGATAAATTGACATTTCTTAACATTCGCCATTTTCTATCCAATTCAGTTATATTATTTGGACAAATCTTTGGGAAGAAATAATGTAAATCTGCAATAGAAGGGATTTTTTTTTAATTTCAGGATGCAGAATAGCTTTGGGATCTAGCATCTTCAGACATTTTAATGCTTGACGGTCTTTGTCGTTAAAAGGAAACCTTTTTAGTATCTGTTTTGCAGCCTCGAGATAAAACTCCTTACACTTTATGTAGAAATTTTTCAGCCGTTCTTCATCTAGTTCTCCAATTTCTCTCTTTCTTCTGATCAGATTTGGCACCATTCCACCGACGTATATTTCTTGCAACGGTAAATGTTTCTGCTCATTCGAGAAGTCAAGGCTTAATATTTTAGTTTCTTTTGCGTCTAAAATATTTCGTGCCTCTAGTTTTTCCTTCGCAGTGAGATCCAAATATTCAGTTTGTACAAAGCATTCCAAAACAGTTGTGTATGCATTCAGTATTTTGTCGTATAGTAAATATAATTTTGGAGTCTCGGACTGCATTTCTTTATTGAGCTCGGTAAATATAGGCAATGCAAATTTCAAAAACTCCAGATATAATTCTGTTGTCGGTTCGAGAGCCTTGGAGAGAATTGATTGTACAGAAAGTAATCTATCTACATGAAATGCAGCTTGAAAATATAATTTATCGATCGATCGATTATGTTCCAGAAGCCTGTTTACTACCTCAATAAGAGACAACCATCTTGTTTGGCTAGGGTGGAGTAATTTGTGTGGTTTAACATTTGTAAATGCTTGAAATGTTTTAAAGTCTCCAATACGTTTTGGAGAATTTTGTACATGGTTAAATACTTCTCTACAAAAGTCTTCTACACCCCTTGGTAATTTCTCACATGCGTATGACGCGCAAAGGTTAAAAGAATGACAAATGCACTTTATAGTAAAAAGGTGAGGTATGTCATTTTTAAACAATGTGACCAATGAATGTTTATCTCCAAACATAACATTGGCGCCATCAGAGGCAAAGCCTATCATGTTTGATTTGTAAGGAATATCTTTTTCAATAAAATATTGAACTATTTTACCATACAAGGCTGTGGCTGTAGCATCTATGATTGGTATTAAAGTCAGAATTCTGTCTTCAACGTTGAAATCTAATTTTACTATTCTTACGATAAGCGCTAAATGTTTTATTGTAGACTTATCTGTGCTTTCGTCAACAAGTAATGCAATTGTTTTGTAACATTTCTACTACATTACTATATTTTCTTCTGCTGCCTGCCCAGTTACATTAACAATAATAGCTCTAGCTTTTGTACGGCTCATTGATAACTGTGTGGCAATTTTCGAATCTGGACATACAGCGCAAATCAATTTATTCAAATGAGATGCAAAGCAAGCCATTTATACTTCACCCGCTTTGGCTGTAATTTTTGTATCTTGTGAATTGGAACCTTAGGTAAACATCGATGTCAGTGTTGGTTGTTTTTTGCAATTTCAAACAATTCTTCGCATGTTTTGTTGAATCTTTGTGTTGTAGCAGTTCGTGTATACCACATTTTCGGTCACAATTACACGCGGTACAAAAAAAATAGGTCTCACCTTTAGTGCTTGTCTTTAATCAGCCTTTGAACCTTTCATCTTTTAACCACGAATTTATACATTTCTGTTCATATTTCACAATCTTCTTTTTAGGAGAACTTTTGTCAGTCGATGAATCACTGCTCATTGTATTATAGACGTTGTAAATATTATTATTCAATTTAAACGGCGGGATCACATGTACTTTAATAATTCAGTGCAGGGATGTTAGATTGTGGTGAGCCAAAGCTGGTACATATGTCGCTAAAAGGCTCTAAAAGCTGGTATTAAATCTTATAAATTTCTATACATAATTTGGACCAATTTTTTATTATTTTTTGACATAAACGATAATTCGCTCGATTGATAAAGTTAATCTGAAATTCTATGGGTCAAAAATAACTATCGTTGTGAAAAGTATTTTTTTACAAAAATCAATAATAATAATAATAAAAACTTCACACATCTCACACACGGCAGTCTGATCCCAAACTAGGCAGAGCCTGTACTATGGTAACCAGACTGCTGATGAACAAACTTATATATTTTTAAATACATACATATTTTAGATAAATTACACCCAGATACAGAACAAATGACCGTGCTCATTACACAATATTTGTCCTGGGTGGGAATCGAACCCACGACCTCCGGCTTAGCAGTCAGAGTCATTAACCGCTAGACCAACAGGCCCGTCAATGTTGTAACTGTGATGTGCAGCAAGAACTTATATATTGTTAGATACTCTTACAAGGAAAAAAAGACATATTATTATGATCTATGTAGAAAGTTGATATTATTGCGTACCAACACAAACGGTAAGGAAAAATACGTATACCAAGAAATAGGTACGTCTTACATCCCTGAAGCAGTGTAGTGTTAAGGTCTGTAGCCAATACGTTCAACATTATCTTCGTCGGATAGAAAGCTCCAAATTATTTCGAAAATGAACTAAAATTTCACAGTCATGGTATTGTGCCTACAGTAAGTGTGCGTGTGGTGGATTCGGAGTTATCCGTGGATTTCGGAGGACACCATGACGCATTTCAAAAGTATTAGACATTAAAATAAGACGAGATACAACATTTCGCCTTCATCTTGTAAGTGCACCTCGTGTGTCTCTGAATCTTTGTTATTGCTTCGGGCAACATCAAAGTGGTCTTTCTTATAGTAGAAGAAGAGGCCGTATATCGTGCGCTGTGTGAAGCATTTAATTGGTCATTAGAGTTTAGCCCTTACCTTTCTAAAGGAATCCTTTGCCATATGAGATGATATTATGTATGGGTAACGATTAATTCAAATTTGTAATAGTAACACTATTATTATTGATGAACTATTTTACATTCAGTATGTCACGTTGTAGAAACTACTCGAAATGTATTGGTCAATCTGTTAATTTGACTTTGCTTATTAATTTAAGTGATATAAGTTTACAATACCATTATTGTAACTTATTAAGAATATAGCAACCACGGAAACAAGTAGTGTTTATTAAATTATCAAAGCACGTAGGGGTATCTGACTTAACGAAACACACTAAGGCACAACAAACTTAGTTTCTTTTTTTTTCAGTGTCGTTTATCAAATAAAAAACGTCTGAGATATAGGACGTGATAAGGAAAAAGAAACAGATCAAAGATAACTACGAAACAAAATACATATTAGGTCAAAACTTGCAGATTTTACTAAATTGTAACCACAGAGGAATAACGACTTATTATCTAGCAGAAAAAATTTAAATTTCGAAAAACAGGTGTCAATATTATGTCAAAAATAACGAACAGTTTTCTGAATTTCATAACTATTGGTTTACATTAAACTAAGCCAATCCAAGGTTCAAATTTATTGTTGCAAATGGGTGTTAACGACTGAATTGAATAATCTCAGAACTAATAATTATTCTGAGATTCACCGAAATGAATTAATAACACTATTAGTTTATCATGAACCGCTGAGTTTTCATTTTCATGGACTGTGAATAGTAAGTAATCCCTATATTTGTGATCAAGCAACCCCGAAATCTCCATGTCGAATTGTCATTTACTAGCAGTTTGTTTCGGCGAGTTTGTTTACGATTTGAAACTGTTTATAAAATACATTAAAAACTTTCAGACCGGAGTTTGCTGTTGCTACATGAGGCCGTTACATTAAGCCTAATAATGTACTTCACGTCAATAAGTTCACGTTTGCTACTTTATGATGTCAACAGTTGGGATTTAAAAAAGTCTTATTGTTGTTACGAAGGTATACTGCGGGATTTAACGTGGAGCGATGATAGCAAATACATGTTACAGGTATTTAATTACTTTAATACTAATTTTAATCATATTCTTCCAGAAACTTATTTAGGATTGTGTAACTCAAGCACGATTGTCACTGCTTGTAAGTACGTAATACCTATATGTGTCGGTATAGTTTAAATTTAATTAATCGCGGGGTGTGCCAAGAATTAAACGTCGTCTGGTTCAGTGCACAACTGATGTATGAGAGTAGCTTATGTTTGAAATATATTAACAACCACATATTTTGAAGTACTGATGTACCTACTAGATTCTTTGGTTTATTCCATTATGATCACCGGAGTGATATCACCCAGGTGAATAAAGTAGATTTTTTGGTTTGCTTGTTTCACCTTCGAAATAATGGGTGAAATAATTCAATATAAGCGAAGGCCATTGTTCACCTTGGAATTTATTCATCCAGGTGAACAAAGGCCACTGCTTATGACGAATTACCCACTATATTCACCCAGGTGAATATAGCTTCTTTTTGTGAATTAGTGTAATATGTTACATCAATACATAGTCCTTAAAAACATGTCTAGTTCTTTACTTATTGGAACCACATAAACATAAAAAAAAAAATATGAATACAATACTAATGTATCTATTGTATTAATTTTATTATTTGTCACATACTTTAACATGGATGTTAAAGATTTTGAAGTTTCTTAGTTCACCCATTCTCTAGTTCCAACTTGTTCGAATTACTGGTAAATACTCAGTGAGAGTCGAAATGACAGGTGTACTATAACAAATCCTATCTTATATAGTAAAGAAAAACTGTACTAAATTATACCTATACTTAAAAAAGTTGTACCTCTGTTACAACAAAAAATATAACAAAATGAAGATTTACCAGCCATTCTGATGTCAGAAGGGCAGCTGTATCTAATATATTAATTCATAGTACAGGGATTATAAAAAAAATTGGACCTATTTTGTACTCTATGTAAAAGAAATCACACACAGTATGTTGATTGGTGCTTACTTTTTTAATAAACTGCATGGATGGCATAGCGGTCACCACGCCACTCACTACTATGCTGAGTGTTATGGGTATAAGCCTTCCTCGGTAAATGGGCTATCTAACACTTAAATAATTTTTCAAATTAGACCAGTACTTAATGAGATTAGCATGTTCAAACAAACAAATGAACAAACTCTTCAGCTTTATAATATTAGTTCAGTAAAAATTTGTAGGTCTAAATACAAATGTACCTACAAATTTATATGGATCCCTCAGTATTGAACCCCTGTAATGAAAAGCACCCCACGTTTTTTTATGATAAACTGATTTTTCTTTTTGAACTTATGGAAAATAATTCCCCAATTTTAAGTTGGGCTAGTCACAAAAGCACTATAATTTATTTATGTTCTACCCATCATACTTATCAGCTACTTTTGCTAAGGAAAATCTTGAAACTACATAATCAATACCGCACTCTAAAACTCAAGATACAATTAATAAAGTGCCTAATAGCAGTATATCCAAAACAGCGAGATAGGTTCTAGTTCGTCGGAATTATGATCAGATGGTTGTGTTCACATCCTAGTAATCTACGACATTATCTACTCCCAACACAAGTTATTTAAAAAAAATATATGCCTTCTGACGACTTTGTAACTAATAAATTTAAATACGTTCAAACAATACTTAATAACGGTCCGGAATGATAGCCGAGTTCGCTGGGTTACTCTTCTGTTCGCTTTGATCAATTCGATGTTTATCGCACTGTAGCTCAAATTGAACTTCTAGACTAGAAAATTTAAAAGAACTGTTTCTTAGAATGAAAGGGCCCTTTTCAATGTCAACAAGATCACGCGACAATTTATTTCTGATCTTATGCTAACTGTTATAAAGCTTATTATATTATTAGAACTATTCGCAGTATTGCGCGGTCAAATGTACTCTTTCTTTCTTCTTCGAATGTTCGTGAAATTTCACGGCAATATGTACGACATAAGTAAGAGATCGGTACAAAAACTCGCATTACAGTACAATATTGGTTAAAAGGAACAGGGATACTTAGTAGAAACGATCTTTATTACGATCATACAGTCCTTAGTTGCGGTTGATTTTATCCGCGGGATATTTCCCAAAATCTGATAAAAACATTGCCGAGCCCGTGCAGAAAGCAAGAAAAAGAAAATGCATTGGCCATAACCTTGGCTCCTAATTTTTTATTTTATTTAAAGATCCAAAAACTAAAATTGTGGAGCTCAAAACCTTTTTTCTAGATCTTAGATACGACCAGTTTTTTGCTCTAGGTTTCTTTAATTTTACTTAGTATTAGTTATAGTTAATTATATTAAGTTTAGTAGTGAAAATATCAAAAAAAATATATAAAAATATCATATATTCTGTATTATGTATTGTATGGAAGTATATTTGTATGTATGTATTCAAATATGTAATGTACGGACAAATGTAGGTATTATTTTAAATTCGTGGAAGAGTTATGCTTCGGCACAAACGGGCCATCTCGACCGGAGTGATACTGAAAAATCCATAATACGCTATCTGTGGAATAAATGCTATGAACTGTTTATTTGAGGATTGAGAATCCGGTCCTAAGAAAAGTACGATTGTGGAAATTCATCATCATCAGCATTGAGTCTACTTCCGTCCACTGCTGAACGAAGGCATCCCCCAAAGAACGCCAACCGTCCCGGTCTTGGGCAATCAAGTAATACCTTTAATAACCACAGTCCACAGTTGTACTTTTCTTAACTTTCCTGATAGTTAATAGTTTAATAATAAATGACGTCTAACAATTTAAGTCTGTTCGTATAATAATATCAGAACTCATTATTTTCGAAAAAACGTTAAAACTTTATAATAATAAATATTTGACATTTGGCATTCTTGACAATATACGTGTTTGACAATATATGTATTTGACATTTTACGAAAACTTGCATCCTCTTGTCATTTTCAGTGTTTGAGCTAATGCGCATTTGACTTATAACTCCTCTTTGCCCTCCTACGCCTTACAATATATCTTAATTTTTAAGTACACACACATGACTTTGGCCTTACTTTCTCACCTATCCTCTATTCACTCCTGAGGGTTGCTGGAACATAACTAAGATTTGGATTAAGCTGGCCTTAATTACTGTGTACAAGAGTTAATGAAATTAAATTATTTAGTTATATATTTTTCCTTTCAATTTGTATATGTTATTTTAATAGGTTTCTGAAAAGATAATTTTTTTTTTGTATGACATATCATACAAAAAAAAAATCTTTAATAACTCAGTCGTTAATAATTCTCTATATCAGTAAAATAATATTGGTCGATTTCCATTACAGGTGAACTCGAAAGGTGTGGTAGAGATACTAAGCCCAACTGACAATGACATTAGAACGTTACAACATATACCATTAAAGGACACATGGTCAGCCAGTTTTCATCGTGATGGTCATCGCAATATAGCCATTGGCACCAGAAGTGGCAACGTGGTTATATGGGATACAAAAAGCAAAAATATTATTAAAACATTTCCGACGCCATCACAGCAGTCTAGTGTGAACTTTGTTAGTTATAATGCCAAGAATACAAGCTTGGCGGCATCCATGCTTAATGGTGATGTTATTATTTATGGTCTTGTATCGAACATTCCCGTGTTAACAGTAAAACTCCCCTCCTCTAGGAGCATTTCAGCAATGAAGTTCCATCATGAATCTAGGTCATTACTTGGTCTTGCTACTGACGAAGGCCATGTGATTATGCGCGACATAACTACTAACAAAGACAAAGCGTACTTTCAGAATGTTCATGGCTCCCCTGTTAGCGATATTGCATATTCTCTGATTAATAGAGATGTCATGTTATCCACGGGGTATGATAAGGTTATGCACGTGTATGATGTCAGGGTTCAAAATGTTGTTTCGACACTGAAGACTTCGTATGCTTTAACTTCGCTAGCGATAAACGTAGAGAATCAAGTGGCTTTCGGTACTAAGAATGGAGTTGTATTAGTGTATGATCTCAGAGACTTAACTAATCCTGTTAAAGTAATAAAAGGTCACGAAGAAGAAGTCCATAGAGTTGCATTCCAACCGATTAGAAAAAAAATAGGATCTACTGATATTAGTCTTCGTGAAGACAACGAGACTACTAATCTGTCGACGCACAAAATTAATTCACCGGCTCGAGGCAGGACATCGGACATGTTCTTAATTACAGATTCTCCACCAAGAAATACCGATATTTCTGCTCAAGCCGGTGATGCAAAAGCTGATTCCTTTTTGGTGATGATGGGTCTTGATAAGTCTCACGAATGTAATGAAGATGGAGATAACTCAGAACAGTTTGAACAGAAGAAGAGTGATAAGCTAGAACTGCGGTATCTACAACTAGATCCAGATAGTAACTTAAGTAAAGTATCTACTCCTTTAAACAGCAGAACTACGGAGAACTTAGGATTTCCATCGCCTATAATTACGAACGGGAGTTCAGAAAATAGACAGCTGTCCACCGCCGATGTATCGAATGTAAAACCATCTAACTCTAATCAAGGCCTGATCATGGATAGTCAAGCTGCTGACGACCTAAAAGATTTTATAAAAATAACTCTAGCTGATATAGCAGATGATAATAGGAATTATTTCCTACACATTATGATGGCTTTGACCAAGCAGAAGCTATATTTAGAGAAGAAAATAACAACCATGAGTGAGCAGATACAAAATTTGGTCAACCATCAAAATGCTTTAGTAGAGACTAATAGAAAGTTGGCGTTGGAAATTGACCAATTGAAATCAAAGCAAAATTATTAGATTATTTAGGCATAAAAGTAATAAAAATATTAGTGCTATTATATTGCTAACATAATAATGTTAAGCGTTTAAAGACAATATTTTTTTTATTATGTTTTTCTAAGGCTTCATGGGATCCGTAATCTCTATTTAAAAAAATAATAGCAAATGAAGCTAATAATTTTCACTGCTAACAAAAAATCCTAAAATTAATAAATTATATAAGAAGTACATAATGTTAATGATAAAGAAATCTCAGCGTAAAATTAGTGTTATAAAAAAATGCTATGAATTAAACAAAATTACGAATAAACAGCAATTGATGTGACTGAAATTGAATAAAATAAATACATTGTGCCAAATCTATTTTATGTATTGTATTGATGATGAATTTATGAGTATGACATTTTAAATGTAGTTTATATATGTGCCATTAACGCCATGGTTTGGAACTTTTGTCTAAGATTATAAAAAACAAGGGACTGGTAAGGGCCATGGGTCGTCAGTGTTCTCCATACATGCCATTCTTAACAGATTAGTCAATAAGTAACTTCTTTTGTAAATGGACAATGTTTTAAATTGTAGTGTATTTGTAATTAAATACTGTGAATATTTGTATTTTATTGTTATTATTAATTTGTTGTTCATAATTACATACTAAGTAGATGTGAATGCCATTAAACTTATATAACTCCTTTCAGTATTTTATTTAAGAAACACAACCGGATAATTCAGGATTAAAGCATCTTTTTATGGCGTATGTCGCCACGTAGTCGTACTAGTTTTGTGGGCGATCATCGTGGCAATTTTTCAGGAATAAACTTTCTCCAGAACATTTGCTGTATTTCGTGACAATATCTATATCCAAAAATAATTTAAAAAAAATAAAATTAATAACTAATAAAATTTTAATTGTTTTTTCTTTTCAGTATACACTGAAAAGTCCAGTTCAGAAATGTAGAAAGCAATTTAATTACTACAACATTAAAATAACTTCATTAGGTATCAGTATTACATAAAATAAAACATGAAATTCTAATACAGAACATATTGACTGCAACAGTCTGGACCTATATTGGATAGAATGATTTTAGTCTAGATTCTATTATCTAGAAGTTATAACTTCTATAGGTGTAAGGTTAAAAAGAATATGACATGCATACATACTTACAAGATACGCGCGAAAAACATAACCCTTTCTTGGTAGTTAGGGTGGCAATTTGGTATTCATGATGCTTGGTATTTGATTGATATTTGAATCATAATCGAAAGTATCGCTAGCGCATAAGTATCTCCCGATGTACCTACGACTAACCATCAAAATTTTAATTGCTAAGAAGCAATTTATAATTATCGATTTGTACTGCTTTCAAGCGTGAAAATCGATTATATATTCTTATTGTGTCTTCACATGTAATGGCGCGATTTTGTAGCGACCGAACAATGTAAAATAATAGATCAATGGACTCAACGAACTTTGCAGTCATCAATGTATTGGATGACTAAGATGATATTTGTAGGTGCTCTTTATTACTTCAGTTTCTTAAAAATCCAGGAATATTTTTTTTTCATTATTTTCGGTTAGTACTCAACAACTGTTGTTAGAAATGACAATAACCAAACAATAGTCCATTCGCGTTAAGAAAAGACTGACACGTCAGTCAAGCCCCGCCCCCTGGCCAATACTATTCCAAGAATTTTAGTTACGTGCGAAAGAGCACTATAATCTGTGTGCGAAAGCTTGTAACCAGAGGGATTTGTGTAAGTTTGCTCCACATCAACTCACGTTCGATATCGAGCGCGTTTGGCGCTGTGTTTAGTGAAGATTTTAGCGGGAGCCAATCGCAACACCGAACGCGGTCACCGTGACGAGCGAGTAGAAGGGAAAGAAAGGTAGGTACTTTAGGCCCTCTGTCAGGTCAGGGTGCGGGGATTGAACGATTAGACACTATTTTCTTAACGCGAATGTACCTACTATAATATGCTCCTCCGCCTCTGCTACAACACATGGGAGAGAGCGCAACATCGTCCTATATATGTACCTACAGTCAAGCCTACTTGCAATCATGCTTAGGATGCTGTTGGAGCTAGAACACACCTTGCAAGTCAGTGATCTACTGTAGATCCAATGCACAGATCATCTACAAACACCTCTTACGCATAGCAATTGCGTAGAAGAAAGGTTTTTTACTATTGCATCAATAAACATATCTGAAGCCTCAAAGAAGCGGCTCAGTCCTATCAACGCCCTCAACGCATCGTTGTATGGAACACGGAGAGAGTTGTCCATTTTTTTTTTCCGTGCGGAAATCCCCTCGGATACCACCTACCACCATCGGTGGCATGTCGGACTCGAACCGACTAAAACCGCACGCCGTCTCGGGTACTAATAGCTGTGGAACCAGGTATACCCTAGAAAGGAAGGCCCTGGTGCCCCGACATACCTCGGGCCATCTACAGACGAGTAGACGACCCCCCCCCCCCGTGTGGGTATCCCATGTTCCCTCTGCTCCCTGGAAGCGAGCGCGCTCGCCGCGACCCCGGCCTGCTTCTGGATGGAGGTCGTTCTGCGACCTCCGGCGCCTGAGTCGCCTGCGGTACCTGGCCCGTTCCCGGGCCTGGCGGGCCGGGAGAGTTCTAAACCTCTCCCGGTCCCGCTCCGCCATCTCCATCGCGAGCATAACTTGCTCGCAGAAGGAGAGAGTTACGATCTACAAATAAACTTAGCCTGTGACGCTTAGAAAGTTATACAGAGGTCCAAGAGCGAGTTTATTTCGCAGCAACTCGATCGTCACGGTAACCGAGTTCAGCGTTGCTAAACGTTGCGTTGAGCCGGCACTGAAATCTCCACCAATCACAATGCTAATCAAAGGCCTAGGCGTTAAAAGAGCGTGAGTTTTACATTGTGAATAACATGCAAACCTACAGCTTAACAGGTTTTCTCTGATGGACTATGCTCTCCATGCTCATGTCAAGGTCATGAGTGAGGCCGAGGGTTTTTTTAGAAGAAATATTTTTTATGACGCTTTTAATTAACTAGTTCTTACAATACCCACATAGTTAATTAACATTTTTATTTATTTATCGAGTTCAAAAAAAAGAAATATTTATATCCAGTTCAAATAAAAAATTCTTTGTGGACAAATGAACAGGACATAATGTTCTCTTCAAAATATTACTCAGTATCGGTCACATTGCCCTTACCTTCAACAGTAGTAAATAGATTCTGGCAGATCGATCGGTATTAGTAGGTAACCACAAATACGTTCAAGTCTAGTAAATAGACAAGTTTTCAACTTAAGGCAGATACAAACATTGCGAGGCATATAAAGTATATCCAAACATTCAACGACAAGCAGGCGCCAGATGGTGGATCTGCTCATGACTACTCGAGAAAAATAAAATATCTCTTTATTTTTTACCATGTGCCCAAATGTAGGTTTTTTTTAAAAAGTTAAAATGAATTAAAGCAAGTGGTAACAATTTTACATAATAACTTATTAATTTATTTCATTACAGGAAATATTCGAATTATTTTCCACCAGCATTAATACAAACACGACATCGCCTTAAACAATTAAGTTTTTTTTTGCAAATCTTCTGCCTTTGAACTATTCCGTAGCTAAGGTAATTTTTTGGCGAAGCTCGATCAATGTTGCAATGGGTTTGGTGCTCAGAACCTATTGCAACCTTACCTTTAAGACCTTTTCTTTAAGACAACCCCAACAGCCCAGAAGGTGTAGGTAGATCGGGTGAACGGGGTGGCCATAAAATAGGATCAAGTTGCCCGACGACTACTAGTCTACTCATCTAATTTTGGGACAAGTAGGTAAGTACTGTGTTTGCCTAATAGTGTACTGCAGAAAATCACAGAAGTCGCAGTAGAGTATTGTAAAGTTCATTCTAAATAATATTGCATTTGTATATATATATATACCTATAGCATATATAGGTATAGCACCTACCCACTATACTAACTGAAAATTGGCACACGTCTAGTACGAATTTACATTTTTAATTTGCATTTCATTTTGATTCATCAGCATCAATTTAAATTGTAGATATCTGATGTCCTAATGTTAATTAGTATGAAATATTTTTCAAATCGAGGATTGAGGTTCATTTGAAATTTTCATGTTAGTTTTACTTTCGCGATTTTTCACTTTATATATTTACTATGTTTTTTATTACAGAGATTGATAAGACAGGGAGACGTTATTTCTCCGAAACTGTTTACCGCTGCTCTGGAAGATGCCTTCAAGCTTCTGGAATGGAAAGAACTTGGCATCAACATCAATGACGAATACATCACTCACCTTCGATTTGCCGACGACATCGTAGTCATGGCAGAATCGCTGGAAGACCTGGGACAAATGCTCGCTGACCTCGACAACAGATCGGCCTTAAAATGAACATGGACAAGACGAAAATCATGTCGAATGTCCATGTCGCGCCGACTCCCGTAGTCGTGGGAAACTCTGTCCTCGAAGTTGTTGACGAATATGTCTACCTAGGACAAACGGTCCAATTAGGTAAGTCCAACTTCGAGAAAAAGGTCAATCGTCGAATCCGACTCGGCTGGGCAGCGTTCGGAAAATTACGAAACGTCTTCACGTCCAAAATACCTCAGTGCCTAAAGACGAAATGCTTCAACCAGTGTGTGTTACCAGTGATGACCTACGGAACTGAGACGTGGTCTCTTACTATGAAATGAGCCATGGAAAGGGCTATGCTTGCGTTTCCCTGCGTGATCGAATCCGCAACGAGGAGATCCGCAGGAGAACAAAGGTGGTCGACATAGCCCAACGGATTAGCGCGCTCAAGTGGCAATGGGCAGGGCACATAGCAAGGAGAACTGACGGCCGATGGGGCAGCAAGGTTCTCCAATGGAGACCACGTGCTGGAAAGCGCAGTGTGGGACGACCGCTTACCCGATGGACGGACGACCTGGTAAAGGTTGCCGGAAACCGTTGGATGCAGGCCGCAATGAACCGTCCCCGTTGGAAATCATTGGGAGAGGCCTATGTCCAGTAGTGGACAAGCATAGACTGAGGTATATATATATATTTATGTTTTTTATTAGTTAGGAATACCACTCAAACGTTAAAGTATTTTATTACAAGTATTGTAAGCGCAAGAGTTAAATCCGGAGCTTAGAGATGAGTCCTTAGATTACACTGTATGTATCCGAAGTAATAATAATCTCACACACGGCGTAGTAAGTCTGCGCACAGTTTGCGCGCAGATATAATATAATAATATAATATAATAATTATAGGTGTAATATAATAATTATAATAAGACTAGCAATAAAACATATTTAATAGACATTACCGTACCATCCGATTACAATATAGGCGCTAAGGAGATTGAGAAATTGAGCAAATACCACCTGTTGAAAACTGAAGTCACCCGCCTGTGGAATACACAAACGACTGTCATTCCGATAGTTATAGGCGCAACTGGAATAGTCGCTAAAAGCATAAAGAAATACATAGATAAATTAGGAGCCAACATCGACATAACCATCCTTCAAAAACAAGCAGCCATACACACAGTGACCATACTCAGTAAAGTTTTGGGAGATACGGTATTCATACACAACACACAGGACCAATACACAAAACACCCCGGAATCGCAAAATATGCATCAGTCACAGGACCCACAACCACAGGGCTCGCAACAATCGCCAGACATACCGCAATCCTCAGACAGTCTAGACCCACTCAACATAGCACATACACTGGACACACAACATACATTAAGCATACGACGGGTAAGAGGGAGAGGACGAGGACGAGGAAGGAGAAGGGCCGCAAATAACACGCACCACATGACAGACACACACTAGTTAGGTTCCTCTCATACAATGAAACTGCACATTAAAAATTAAATTACAGTAAATAATTCTCATAAGGTGTGCGAGCTACTTGTGATATAAATATTTTTTTGTTACACTAGTTCTGCCTAATTTTGCGACCAGAGGTGTGTGGCAGTGTCAGTTGTCTCGACTTACTATTATTATAGATATATTCGGTAGTGTGAGCCGTAAGTGTCCCTAAATGATCTATTGGGATGAAATTGATGTAGGTAAATGTAAACGGCAGATTTATCTCTGACTTTTTTTTTATTAAAACACTGATTTGACTAAAGCGTACTTATAAAACTAAACTAACTAACTCAAAAAATATAATAACTAAACGAATTGACAGATTTGTCAGTTGTCGTTGTCATGCTGTAGGTTAGCCAGTTTTATTTTTTAAATTGTAATCTTAGTTTTAGGCGCCGAAATGGGTGAACTAACAGCTACAAATTTATTTGAATCACAAACTATATTCGCCGATCACAAGGACCTTATTCATGATGTCGCTTATGATTTCTACGGGGAGAGAATGGCTACTTGTTCAAGTGACCAGTATGTAAAGGTTAGTTATTTTGTTAACAAACAAAAACGCGGTATTGAATCGTTTTGATCAAAACGTATCTCTTGTTTATTAAATGTACCCCAAATAAACTTCATTTATGTTAACAACATTTGGTATAAGTTGTACTTTTACCACTAAAAACAATGAAAAGAAATGTTAAAACTTTACGCGAACGTACCTATCTGTTTCATAGATATGTTTTGATATTTGCATTTCGATAAACTCTCAGCAAATACCAAAATAGTACTTATATCTATTCACGATAAGAGAGGAATCAGAAATACATCAGGTTAATCCTTGTAGCCAATTAATAAAAGGATATTCCAAAGAAAATACATTCTTTTAGATGTTATTGCTCTATTTTCAATTTAGACAAATTGTAAACCTGGCCTTCAATGAGTTTTTTTTTAAATTGCATTTAAAACAAGGGATTAATATTTAACTAATGCTAATGTATTTTATAAAGTTAAATTTTATTATGAAACTATTTTTAGCAGCCATGTTAAAATTTAAATTTATAAATAGAGCTTTTCTTTGTTAAGACAGAGTAAACTAAATGCTATTTGAATTTTTTTTAGACAAGCTTATTACATCATTATTGATTTGACATTTTAGGTGTGGGATTCAGATGGACAGGGTGGTTGGCGCATCACGGCCAGTTGGAAGGCCCACCATGGATCAGTGTGGAAGGTGACATGGGCTCACCCTGAGTTTGGTCAGGTCATCGCAACATGTTCCTTTGATAGAACTGCTGCTATTTGGGAGGAAGTTGGTGAGTCCTTGACTCTGCTAATACTATTAGTAACTACCATCTGATGATATCCTAAAATGAAAAGATGAGTAAGATTTTTGCACTCTGTCATATTTTCCAACAAAACTGGAATGAGGTTTTACACACTCCACTTTGTTTCTTATTCTTTATTCGTAATTGGAATTAATTAAATGTTGTTTTTATATAGTCAATATTTTTTTATCCATAACTAGTAGTTACCCCCAGTTTCATGTGTGTAGTCAGACATCTGCTCTTCATGTTAGGTTACATATACGGTGTATGCGAATATAAACTATTTTTTTTTATGGTATAAGGGAGCAAACGAGCAGACGGGTCACCTGTTGGTAAGCAACTACCTCCGCCTTTTAAAACCTGCAACTCAAAAGTCACAAGTGCGTTGCTGCCCTTGGAGTCCCTCCCCCTCGAGTCAGCGGGAGAGGGGATTTGGGCTCTGGTAACCTCACTCACTCAGTGAAAGGCAACGAAAGAATTGCTCAACACCAGTTTTCTGTAAGGCCATTTTCATAAAATTTCTTTGTTATTCAATTTGCGATGGAGACAAATCCATAAAATCAAACATCATATAAATTGGTCTAGCTGTTCTTATGTTAGAAATGGTGAATGGTGAAAACCATCATTATTTTATTTATTGAAATGTTGATATACCTTTAATAGCCTCTTACCACTATGTAAATCTTAGAATTAAAATTGCAGCCACTCAATGAAAACCTCATTAATACCGAAAATGTATAATGTAATTAATGACGGGCCTGTTGGTCTAGTGGTTAGTGACCCCCACTGCTAAACCGGTGGTTGTGGGTTCAATACCCACCCAGAACAAATATTGTGTGATGAGCACGGTCACTTTTTCTGTAATTTATCTATAATATGTATGTATTTAAAAATATATAAGTATGTTTATCAGCAGTCTGGTTCTGCCTAGTTGGGGATCAGACGGCCGTATGTGAGATGTGTAAGGTATATTCTTATATTGTAAATGCATAATAATAACTCCTCATGTGCCACTACACTGTACAGTGCTTACCGGCGAAAGCACTTTACAGTGCAGTGGCACATAAGAAGTTAAAAATCTTCAACCTACAAGCTTTAAAATTAAATTAAAAAATAAAAACTCAATTTTGTTTTTCTTTACAATAGGCGACACAGCTGCTTCAGGATCAGAGAAGGGCCTGCGCACTTGGTTGAAGAGATCAAATCTTGTTGATTCTAGAACTTCTGTCACTGATGTCAAGTTTGGTCCCAAGCATTTAGGTTTACTGCTAGTCACTTGTTCTGCAGATGGTATCATAAGGTACTAGTCTTTTAAAATGAATACCTACAGTAATTGTTACATACAAATTAATCTTTTGCCTTCCGATACTGCAATCTCTGCAGTATTGGAAGGCAAAAGATAAATAATTTTTTTTAGATAGAGCTTATGGTTTTACACAAAGAAAAAATATATAGGTATAACCTGTAAAACCACAAAAAGTAGTTTTACAGGTTATATATTTTTATATACTTTTATAATAGACAATTGTTTAAATCATTCAATCATCATCATCATCATTATCATCCACCTATCGCAGTCCACTGCTGGACATAGGCCTCTCCCATTGCACACCACTTAGATCGATTTTTCGATTTTTTGATTTTTCAATAATTTCATGTATTATTTCAGAATATATGAGGCACCTGACGTCATGAACCTTGCACAATGGACCTTACAGCACGAAATACCAACCAAAGTGTCAATTAGCTGTTTGTCATGGAATCCTTCCCTATCCAGGTAATTAAATAATAATAATATGGTGGACACCTGACACAACACGCCATCTAGTTTCAAACTAAGCAGAACTTGTATTATGAAAGCTAGATTGACTGATAAAATACTAATATACTTTTTTTTTGTAAATACAAATATATTTTATATAGAAAACATCCAAATTCCGAAACAAATTTTTGCAGATCATACAAACATTTGGGCCCACCCAGGAATCGAACCCGATACCTCAGCACACAAGTCGCATAAACTACAGAGGCAGTCAATGCCATAATAGTTATACCACCCACAGCTACCCGAATCCAGTGTTTAGTAATTCTTTTGTTGCTTAAAGCAGAATGAGGTTACCGGAGCCCTTAAACAACTCCCTCCCTCCCCCTATTCCTGGGAAGGGACAAAAAAAACTATTCTAAATATCTTACATATATAGGTTGTAATATTAAAAAATTAAATTTTTTTATATGGGTGTGTGGTCTGTGTTTTAACAAATAAAACTAACTGGTGGCATCACAAATACTAACAAACTAACAAACTAACAATCTCGGGCGCCAGATACCACCTTAAAAGAACACAGAACCAACCACAAACACATAAATGCCTCGGACAACTCGGTCAGCGCTAGACCTTTAATCTAGGACGGGGGGCAGCTAATGAATACAAGATGTTAAGTTCTAGTGGCAGTTTATTATCCCGTAGTGTCTGTAGAGTACAACGTATCTTAGGACTCTAATTACAATAGGTAATTCTTATACTCAAAATAGTACTGTCATTAATGCAATCCTTTTCAAATAATAAAAAAAACAATATAAAATTAAATATGTTTTAAGAGTCACATAAAAACTCAATAAGAAGTGAATCTAAGGGTAGTTGTGGCATCGACCTACTCTCTAGTAAAAATATAACACCCCTTGGGGACCTGCAGTATCCAACGCCACAACGCCAGATCAAAATAATAAAAAAAACATACCAAATGACATTGGTTCAGTCCGAATGAAAAGAATTCAAACCAAATCTAAAACATCTCACTCCGGTCCCACGTGGTGGAAGAGGCGGGTTAGCATTCCCAGGCTCCTGACAATGGCATGCAGCTAAGCAGCTTTTTCTACCATTATAGGTGCTCCACAGCAAACTAAATTCCTGGGGTCAGGCCGGCGGAGAGACAAAATCCAAATGTCACGCAATGACATTCCAATCCAATAAGAATTTAAGGTATAAATAGAAAATTTAGATTTAAACAAAAGATTTAGAATTAAACTAAAGAAAAGAAAAAAAAAAACCCTGATTCATCTGCAACAAATGAGAATTATAGGTTATTTGCCTATCTCAAAAGATGAATCCTAAAGCTGGTAAGTTACAATAGTTTACTCACCAGGGTCCCAAAATGTTTCACAAACTAAGCAGCGGCATTATAAATATACCCTGTAACCAAACAAACAAAGATTTAGAACAACTAATCTCGACAAGCCAAGTATGAAGCACGTGGCATAACAAGACTTACCTTTTAACGAAAATAACAACTCGATCAATACAATTTGAGTCTTTAACGAGGTTGGCCAAATAATAAAAATAAGAAATAAGCTCTCGTTACAACAAAAAGACTACATTTTAAAAATCTAAACTTCTTCGACTCGGACCGAAGCTAATGTGACGCCATAAAGGCCTTTTAACAATGACGCGTCCAAATGTTGCCAGATCAAGAAAAACTAAATCGATAACTACCATAGATAAAGTAAATGTTTGTTTGCCAGAGTGGTGCATCCTCCCATGCTGGCGGTAGGAAGTGACGAGCCGAGCACCACGTCGGCGGCTGCTAACGTTCAAACCGACAAGTCAACTGCATGTAACGGCAAAGTTTTCATATATGAGTAAGTAAAATTTGTATGAAATAACGGTTTCTGACATCACACTCCTTTAGTCCCGTAAATCCACTGAATTAGTGTCCACTGTATCAAAATGTCCTCAGTATCAAAAGGTAAATGGTAGCATAAGATCCATAGTCCACATATCACAAGGTTTACATTCCTTTAAATCCAACTTAAAATGACAGTACAGACAGACAGAAAGTTTTGATATTATTTTATAGTGGACACTGTGACAAAGTGGACTATTTGGTAAGTAGACATTTTGATAAATGGATCATTCGGTAAAAAGGACAATTTGATAAATGGATGTTTTAAAGTGGTCATTTTGATACTGTAGGCTCTTTGATACAGTGGACACTTTGATTCAGTGGACTTACGGGACTAAAGGAGACTAAAGGACACGGCTATTGTTGACAAAAAACCTTTATTTCATAATTAGCTTTAACAATTACATTTTTTTTGTTTTAACTAGTATGTCGTCTTTAATTATAGGTATAGCGAAAGTTCCCGGCGCTGGACCCGAACCGACTGTTTGTCATCGGTACAGGAGCCCGTCAACGACATAGCCTTCGCGCCCAACCTCGGCAGGTCGTTTCACCTTCTCGCGGTCGCTACTAAAGATGTCCGCATCATTAAAATAGAACCTATTGCGTAAGTGATCAAATTTAAACCTATATTAAAAGATATTTTATTTCTGATAGAGAGATATACATATTTGACGAAAAATGCGAAATATTTAAGAGGAATCGACAAGTTGTTTGGCCGGATATTCGATATAGTCGATTCGAATTGACGACCGATTGACGACCGGATGGCGTAGTGGTTTGTGTACTTACAGGGCTGCCAGAGTGGGATTTGACAACTTGTACGTAAAAATAAAACTAGTTTCTATATCGTGAAGAGGCGTTCGTCAATAAGAGACAGACTATTTCCGTTCTGCCACTTTATCAGACCGTGGACAGAGCAATATTCCGGAGCGAGACACCACATTCAAAACCGACTGCCACAACCAGTTTGAGGTGCTGGATCGCCCCGGCTAAGTATTATGTTAAGCACCAGGTCGTTGGTGTTGATCATAACTAAGGTATCATCAAGTTGACGACCGAATGGCGTAGTGGGTTGTGTAACAGACTGCTATTCCAAAGGTCGCGGGTTCGATTCCCGCTCAAGTCAAACATGAACAATTAATGTTTGATTTGGTCTGGGTGTTTCTATGTGTATTATGTATGTATTTACAAAAAAAAAGTATAAATGTATTTATATCAGTTGTCTAGTACCCACAGTATAAGCTCTGCTTAGTTTGGGACTAGATGGCGTTGTGTGAATGTGGTAAAAAAAAAAAAAGAATACGAATGTAAGTTCTTATAGCCCATCTAATCTAAGAGGAGAATCTGCAAAGAGAAGGAAAACTTGAAACAAACCCTGTATCAACCCGTCTGGCCAGCGTGGTACAGTAGGCCAAAACCTCCTTTCTAAGGAGAGGCCTATGACTGCTGGAGCAGTGGACTAGTATAGGCTGTTGATGTGATGTGAATCTAAGAGGTAACTTTTGACAGTTCTGGAAGAATAGGGAAAAGGTCAAAGAAATCGATTACTACAATATCCGATTCCTAAGAGATTTCGATATCATTTTATATGTCAGTGTCACGTTTGATAGCTACAAACAGTCAACTATAATTTCATCTTTTACGGTGCATATTGCCTAGTGGTTAAGGCATTGGACTTGCGATCAAGAGGTCGCGGGTTCGAATCCTGACCAGTACACTACCGACGTAAACCCACTCCTTATTAAGCTGGAGGGGTGAACGGGAATACTAGTAATTTCGGTTGCTAGTAATTCTTTTAACAAAAAAAATGTGCAAAATAGGTACCATGGAACCTCTTTTCTAAGGAGAGGCTTATGTCCAGTAGTGGACTGTTAAAGGCTGTTGATGTGATGATGGTGATGAGGTACCGATGGTTGTGTTATATGATGGCACTATTGTGTTGTAGCGAGTCGGGCAGCGCGGGCGGGGCCGGGGGGGCGGGCGGGGCGGCGGTGCGGTTCAAGTGCGAGGTGCTGGCCGCCTTCGAGGAGCACTCGGCGTGCGTGTGGCGCGTCGCCTGGAACGTCACCGGCACGCTGCTCGCCTCCTCCGGGGACGACGCCACCGTCCGCCTCTGGAAGAGTCAGTACACAACACGCACACCCCTCCTTTCGATTTATATTGTCTACCGAAACCGCTCAACCCAACAATTAATAGCAACACTGAACTTATAAAATAATATTAACATTCACTGATAAAAAATCTGCTTTTCTATAATATAACATGCCTGCCATATCATTATTGACAACCACGCTAAAATAAATACACGGTTTCCTTTTACTCGTTTCCTCCCCATTTACGAAATCATTCACAGATTGCAGATAAAAAAAAAGTTACACTTCAAAAATTATACCATTTATGCATATATTTAAACAAAAATAATAATTAAGGGGTTCGTGGCTAAGTGGTAACGTTAACATTGAAAAGTTGCCAATCCTTGCCAGGTCAGTCTATGGGTGGGTGACCATCTCCGAGGCGTCAATGTGTTAAACATTGACGCCTCGGAGAGCAGGTTAAGCAGTCGGTCCCGGTTACCATACGAAAGTCTATGGCAATCGTTACAGGTAGTTAAAGCCCTAAAACATTCCCCAACTCAACAGAATTTCGATGGCAGTCGTTCCGCGTAAAAAATCGAAGTTTAGGAATATCGTAGTAGGCTGAAAGCTGACCCAACCTAATTTGGGAAAATAAACCTGATAATCTTATGACTATAACTGAAGTAATTGTTATTTTTTTTCCAGTGCAATACCTGAACCAATGGAAGTGTGTGGCCGTGTTTAAGAGCGAGCCGATGGGGGGCGAGTCTCCCCCCTTGGCGCGAGCACACACCACGTACATGCGCATGGCGACGATGGCCAACCCCTCGCACATGCCATTTCACTGACAGTGGCGCCACGGCTGGCACGGGTAACTATTGCTCACTTGGCTTTAGCTCGAACTTAATACGTATAAAATTATTACAATAACTACAAATTACAAGTCATCATTATAAGTAGATTTAAGGACACAATGTATAAGTAAGTAAAATAATGTTTGAAAAAAAAAAAACTAATTATTTTAATTGTATCAAATCCCTTTGTATGTACTTGCAGCCTAAAGTCAAAAAATTGAACGGCTGTTTGTTGCCTTAAAAAAACTTAGTTTAGTGGCTATACCATAATATTAGGTCTTTACCTATGAAATTGCCGTTTTGTATGCAATAAGTGAAAGTACTTATTTTTTCAAACTTTTTTATTTCTGTTATTCGAAGTAATCACCCATGCAATCGACGCATCTTTGCCAACGCATTGGCGGTTTATTGATGCCCTTCTTGTAAAAATCAGCTGGACGGGAGGCAACAAACTCTTCAAAGGCATTTTGTACTGCCTCTCGGGAATTGAATTTTTTACCCACTAAAAAGTTGTCTAAATTTTGGAAAAAGTAATAGTCGGTAGGTGCATACAAAACGGCAATTTCATAGGTAAAGACCTATTATTACTACGAATCTTTGGTATTTCTTCGAGTCCTATTAATTCAGTTCCCACTATACCTATTGACTGTCATTTGAGTCGGTCATTTCAATATATTTTTTCGAGCTGAATGCGAGAAGCCCAGAACCGATCGAAGTGGCGTGCAATGGGATGCGTTGCGCGAGGCCTATGTCCACCAGTGGACTGCGATAGGCTGATGATGATTTTTGAACACATCAAAAAAAAGGAGGTTCTTAACTTGGTTATGTTTGTGACCTCAGATCCGTCATTTAGGAATTGATTTGGATTTTTATGGTGGGTGGAGTATATTAAATTTCACGTTTGGTCGTAATGATTTAAAAAATAATAATAATAATAATAATAATGAGTGGAAAAAGAATAAAGATCTGATTATTGTTTTTACGTGTGGAAACTTCCTCGGGTCCTTATCCACCCGGTTTTTGGTGGAACGATGTGTCGAGATCGAACTGACTATAACCACACTATGAACTAAAGGGGATCCTAGAACAGCTGTTAAGGTCAACGCCAGTAACGTTTATTCGACCCTGGAATTTCCTGGAATTTGTTGCATCCGTGTGTTTACAAGTGTAACACGGAAAAGAATTTCCACATCAATCAATAAGAATTTCTAAATGTTACATTTACGAAATTAAGAATACTTATAATAATGTTCAACTTATATTACTTCAATAAAATACTTGCGTACAACATAACATAATACTCTATTATTTAGTACTTTATGTAAAACTCATTTATAAACAACAAAACACTATTCGAAAAACTATTGCTTCAGACTTGTGTAACAAACTTCTTTATTCGCTTAATATTAGTAAGACACGTTAGAAATTTTGACATCGACCGCCCACACAATGGCGACTAGCCGCCCAATGTTTTACGGACGAAATAATCAACCAAATCCAAAATATACACGTCGTCTTGATTTATATTACGAGTGACATTAAATCGATTAGTAAGGTGTAAACATATCACTAATTTGGAAATTTTGGATTGAATCGATCATTGTTTTCTGCCGTTAGACGATTAGTCGCATGTGTTAATCAATCGCTTGCGTTTACTTCATGGGCGCTGTGCGCCGGAGTCGTTGCAAATGCGTCGTCTCCTTGCCTATACTTCTTGTGGAGTACCAACCAACCTGCAATAATATTTTGACCAAATAAAAAGCGGTTACAGCATATATATTAGGCCTTAGGGCATTGGATTTCGGTTCTTTTTAATACATGTATTCAAGATTTTTTTAAGTAAGCCCGAAATATGGCGATAACAGTTCAGCGAGTTCAATAATATCTTCAACCAATAGTGTATTTTCATAGAATTAAAATATGTCAAAATAGAATATATACATCACAGGTTATTTCTCTTCACGGAACTTTAACGTTTAATAACTGAAACTGATTTGGCTCTTGACACCGACCTGAGAGGTCGCTTTACCCCTTGATTAAGCTCCCCGGATGAATCCGAAACTAGCTAAGTATCGCCCTGAAATACACACTAAGTGTTTTTCTTTATACAAATGATTTGACTCCCCGATGTAAGGTTATGTAAAGATTTATACCACAATGTTTCCTCCTCAGGATCTTTACGTAATTAATCAATGACCCCTAAGAACATATTTATTACAGTGAAATTAGTCTCGAGAAATTTTTGCATATGTAGTGGTGTGTATATTACTCAGATCTTAGAGCGCGTTTCCACTATATCGTTCTGGCCTATACAAAAATGTTTCGATATCCTAACATTACTATTTAATTTTATACTTATCCCTAGCAACACTCTGATTTTTGTTTTCAATAAAAACAAGTTTTTATTTTAAAGAAAAAGGTTTTGACCTTATAAAAAAAAAAGGTGTGTGCGATTCACACACGATAGAAGTGAAACTTCAAAGAGGAGAGACCGATATTTAGTTTTTTTTTTTTTTTTTTCTTTCATCTAGGTTTTTAAAACTCCGGGGGGTCTACGGGAGGGTCAAAATTTTTGTTATTTTTGGCCTAGGACGCACCGTTTCCGAGATATTTCAATCTAAAGCAAAAAATCGTCACTTGATAGTGGAAAGTGGAAACACGCACAAAACCAGAATAAACCAGTTTACGCTGTCCGTACCATACACTACTACAAACGCAAAAATTTCTCCAAGCTAATTTACCTGTACCTAACTTTTTGTTTTCATTACGACGTAAAATTTCGCTTGGAAACAAACTTGCATGCATAAAATAAACTAGATTAAATAAGACGTACCGGCATTGCTCTCTCGCTCTTGCATTGGCTGTTAGACGACGAATGTGGACTTACGATGTTACTGCCAAAGACAAGAAAATGTTTTTTTTAGTTTTGATACTTGGATACGTACGTGACATTCAAGTTGTATCACGATAACTAAATAAATTGATTTTTAATAATTACAACCTGCAGTGTAAATTGCCTAAAGCGATTCAAATTTGATGTCAGTGAAGGGTTGGCTTTCTAAGGACAGGCCATGTCCAGCAGTGGACTATTAACCTATGATGATAATGATGGTTGGCGAGAATAAGGCAATGTGATATCTGTGATAGATAAATTGTGTCTCGCGTTAGCCGTCTAGCTTACAAAACTCTGACTTTAGCGGGAACCTCAATTTTAGGTTTGAATATACCGTTTATAAAGCGTTTTTTATATGCACTTTTCTTATCACTTTAATACGGCAAAATTAGTTTGATATTTACCCCAAAGATGCTCGTTTAATAGTAGTCGCGTTGCTCTGCAGAAGGATCCTCGCTGGTGGGGTCATCAGGCCGCCGCTTGCTCTCCAACTGTACAGGAAAAATTCACCGTTAACTGCTACTGCTGCTTCTGGCAAGTGATGCTGGACTAAGCGATTCTTATTCAAACTGGATTTTTATGGTATAGGAGGCTAATGAGAGTGGGTTATCTGGTGGTAATTGACTAACACCGACCTTGGACATTTGCAACTCAAGAGACTACCCTGTGAGTGCCTCCGTCCCAAAGCTAGGTATGGATAAGTTGGGCCTCCGCTAATTTCACTTACTCGATGAAAAGCTACGAAAGAATTGGTTACCGCCGGTCTTCCGTGAGGTATCACTCCAGTCGAGGCGGCCCATGTGTGACCAAGCATGATTTTTCCACGGTTAAATGAATTTAGTTTTTTTAGCTTTAAGTTTTTACAGTTTCGTTTAAATGGTTTGTCCCAAAATCTTCCTCAGTAAATTCAACTTTTTACTTCCTGCATATACATTGCATAGGCGTACTTAATGCCATAGGCATTTTCTTTCTCAAAATACAAACATATTATCCCCAAAATATAAAATTTATTAACTTACGCAAATGAAAAACGAACTGAATTACATTTTTTTGTAAAAACAAAGTAGGCTTTTGTAAAGACTCACCTCGGCAGACCGTCGCCTCCCTTTCTATAAAATTCCGCTCGTTTATCGCCATGCCTGTTCGGGCAACTGTTCAACCTCAGTGGCCGCTCGTCCTCTAGCGAAACTTTCCGGACAAACGGAATCCGTATATTTTTACTGCGTGTAACTTTGTCGTTGATGTCAGTACTTGAATGTTCGTCGATACTGGGCAGCCGCGGGTCCAGACCGCAGTCTCCGTTGTCATACACCTTGTACACCGGCTTCTTCATAACATACATACTGCTTAATGGCCTGTTACTGGTTCTAGGGCTCTGCAATTGACACTTCTTAATTCTATCGGACGATGGGATTTTGGGAGCTGGTTTAGGCGGTTCCGGAGTTATGTTTCGATTGACGAGGTTTGGCTTCGGTTGTTGGAGACAGGAGGATATGCGGATCTTTTGAGTCGGGGGTGTGTATTTCAATGATGTAGGCTGAGGTGGAGTGGGGGCTTTGCTAGTGGAAGCGTCCGTGTCGGTGTCGTACTTGGGCCGGTATTCGGGCGGAGATAGCGGACGTGGTTCCTGAGCGTTCGACGACCATAGCAACTCAGTTCCAGACATAGATTGCAGTTGGAGTAAATGCGTCTTGATATTGTACACTCCGGCTGTTGTCCCGAACGGCTCAGCTTTTATTTGAGCGACGACATCCATGACTGACATCTGACATAGTTCTGATATCTGCCGGTATACCTGCAAACCAAGCAAATTAATGCGACTTGTATAAATCGCATTTATTTTGCCACAATTATTTGAGTCAAGTTAAGAAAGATTAATAAGTCTTATTTTCTGGCATCGTAGCGTTGTGGCGTTATAAACACACATCTGTATAATAAGAACTTCTGGTAAAGTTATTTTTTAATGCTTGATGGTCATCTGTGAGAGCTCATCATTTAGGTTTTCCATCAATTAGTGATTATTCAGTTTCCGTGTGGTGACAGATTAAGAAGTGTCCCCACCCCTATTAATCCCGTGGGTATCGCAAGAGGCAACTAAGGGCAAAACTATGCAGGTCAACAGCACTGCAAAGAGAAGGAAAACTTGACACAAACCCTATACCAACCCGGCTGGCCAGCGTGGTATAGTAGGCCAAAACCTTAATGTCCAGCAGTGGACTGTTATAGACTGGTGATGTGAAGTCGTTTCAATTACTATTTATTACGCTTTTTTTAAGTTTGAAGCGGTTTGTGACGTTAAGTGTACTTTAATGTTTAGTTTGTACGAACAGTAACGAATCTCGTTTCTCGATTTTTATTTAAGCTGCTTCATATCCTGCGAACTTGATTAACTTAATACGTAGAATACTCGTAGAATCCTTATTCGACACGATTTTTCTTCTTTTTTTATTTTAAATAGACAACTCCGCATTAGGAATATATCCTGTGTCGAGGAGGACTTTACAAACATAAAGAACACTCAGACTCAGAACAACAATTTGTGGAACAAACAAAGTGTCGTCCCATGTGGGGATCGGACCCACAACACTCAGCGTAGTAGTAAACGACTACGCCATCAGTGCAGTCATTATTAATATATTATAATATGTGTCACATATTATTAATATGTGTATAAATATATATTTTTTTTAAACAATTTGCTGTATCAAAACATTCTATGTTATGTAATGGGTACCATCACACATGTACAAATGAGACTTACCTCCCTGTTGGTCGTGACCTCAATTGTATTAAAAGGGTGGGTTTTCATCCTCATGCCGGGCCTCTTGATCCAGCTGTGGCGAGCCGCCTCGTCGATTTTCATCCTCAATTCCACGTTGGGCTCCAATAAATGCTGGATAAATGCCTTGCACTCTGACGATGATAATTTAAAAAAATCATTCACTGAAGACTGATAGCACTATTTTTTCCTGTTTGCATTCTATGATAGAATAGGGACGGAAGTGTGTGACAGGATAAGGTAGTCCGCGCTATTTGATTTGACCAATGAACGCGCGCAGTGCTGGACTAGGTTCGGATGGTAGGTGAGATGTAAGACGTTACACATATTACGATACTACTGTAACTTTCTCTTCTTTTTTGATATTGAAGTTTCAAACTTCTTACTTTTGTTAGTTTACGTTTAAAATGAGGTCCTTTAAGTTTTAAATGACTGACGGAATTGATGTACAATTGATAGAACCACGATTAAATCATTTGTGATAAATCATCATTGTTGTATTTAATTATGGTTTTCCACAGGTACGAGGCCTGTCCACCAGTGATTGGAACGGAACGTTTGAATCGTGGTGCATGTGATAGTTAAGATAGTTTTTAAGGTGTTACTGGGCCTAGACCTGGCATGATGTAACAATGTGAAAATTTAGGGTAAGGTTAACGCGCTAGTTAAGTATATAAGACTGTAAACAGTAATGTCATGTTTGGAGAAGTCAAGATAGCAAAATATCACTTTCATCAATTGCAAAATTTCACTTTTGCAAAATATAAGTTTAGCAAAATGACACTTCTGGTCACGGTCCGGTCTTCTGTATATTTTGTAATCAGAAATCGTATTTTTTCATTAATAAAATAACCCTTAAGTGAAATCTAGAACAAAAATATGACCTCACACATGTATTAGCAGTAAAAGCATGGATATGAAAGCAAATTGCAACTTAAAAATGTGACGAAAAAAGTTGCAAAGTAGTCTTGAAACCATATTACAAACTACAATTATTTTGGGTGTAAATTGTCTATGAATGTCTGCATATATCGCGAGATTTTGTTAAGCTGGTTGGTTTTGGTTCGTAAAAAATATTATAGATGTCTAATTTATAATTGTTAAGTGACATTTTGCAATACTAATATAACGATGGTCGAACATTTATATGCCTTTTAAGGTAAAAATTTGCTAAATTTTGTAATTTTATTTGTAATTGTAATGAAGTAAGCTTTTATAACCAAAGTTTTACATATTTATAATACTTTCGAATTAAAAGTCTTTTTTAGACGCTCTACAGTCTTTAAAATAAGTACATAAAAAATGGAGTAATTCTTTTTTATCCACTAATACTAGTCGTAGGCGACTGGGAACGAGACGATGTATTCTTTGTTTAATTGAGCGTACGTAATTAAGATATATTTCGTTAAATTACACAATTAAATGAAATCAGATTCTTAAAAACATATGTCTACAATAATAATATTGTTGTTAAAACTCAATTATGTTCGTCGCTGTTAATTTGTCAGTTTAATGGAAGTCAGCGTGTCGTACAAGTAGCAGTAATGTACATTTTTAAAACTATACAAGGTGCAGTAAATGTTTTTAATACATTAAAAATAAGTTTTGTTAAGAATTTAATAAATAAATACAGATAAATTATTATATTTTTTTTACTTAGTACAATATTTATCTTAGTATATGATTCTTGATGCATAGCATCTTGTTTCACGCTCTCCTGCATCCGTAAAAATGATTTTGTGAAAAGGGACGGAAGTATGTAACAAGCTGGGGAGGCGCGCGCTTTTTCAACCAACTTCATAAACAAAAGATGCAAAAAGACAATTCGACTGTAATAACGTACGTACGTTGTTGGTCTTTATTAATTAACAAAATCTGCGTGATTTCTTGATTCTCTACTGAGCTGATATAAATGCAACATAAACCCTCAGTATTATTTATTGTGGATCAGGCTTGGCACCGACTTCAAACTGACTAAAAGGTATCTTATTGCTATTATTATGTTACATGTTACATTGTGGGTAGTACTTATTTTTAATTAGGTTGGTAATTATTTTTTCAATTTTTAGTGCTTTTAGTATTGTTTGAAGTGGGTTCAACTCTTTTAATAGGATTTATGTTTTGTCCTAACAACGCGCACAGTGCTACAGTCGCCCGTCAGATGTAGGTGAGATGTCAGATGTTACATTTTATTAACGACTATTGTGACTATTTTCATTTAATGAAAAAAAAAAAGTTACAGCAAGGTAAAACAGACATTGTATTTAATTTATACTGTGTGTCTGTAAATAGGTGTGTGATGTATGTGTAAGTGTTGGTGGGAGCGATGTTACCGGGCGATTGCGCGGCGAGTGCGGCGCGTTGCTTGCGCGTGAAGCCGCGCGTGATGGCGGCGCGCAGCAGCGGGCGCGAGCGGCCCTCCGCCTCCGCCGCGCCGCCCCCGCCTCCGCTTCCGCTACCGCCCGTGAAAGGCAGCCCGCCCGTCACCATGCCGTACACGATCACCCCTCTACACAAACAATATTATAAAAGTGTATTCAAGGCTATGATTTTGCATTGCTTTTTTTGCATAGTATGGGGTAGATAGAAAATCAATAAGTCAAATCAGTGTCTAGTGGAAAGCGTTACTAACAATTTGAATTGATAAATGTAATGCTTTCACCGTTCGCAACACAATGAGAAGATTATGGTGTTATGGGTCTATTATATCATAAGCATTAAATACATGCAGTTCACACTTGGTCCCTCGAGATCAATAGTAATGGATATATCTTATGTTCAACAGCTTCTATTTGAAATAAATAAAATAATCTATTACCGAGTTCATGATATCAATCGATTATTGTGCAAAGTTGAAGAGATCTCAATCATGTAAGTTGAACACTAAAATCAAATCTATAAAGTGAGAAAAATCATACATGCTCCAAAGATCTACTTCAGGTCCGTAGCGGCGTCCATCCACGAACAGTTCAGGTGCTGCGTACTCGAGGGAGCCGCAAGGAGTTCGCAGCGATGCACCTGAGCTCCAAATGTTAGATAAACCAAAATCTGCGAAACAAAGGGGAAATAAGGTAAAGTAAGTGACTACCGCCGCCCATGAGCACCTGCAACGAGTCACGGGCGCGTTTTTTTACTTTGAGCCCCTCTCCCCTCCCTCACCAGAATCAGGGAATTGGTCTCCGGTAACCCCACTCCCGCTGTGAAAAGTCACGAAGGAATCGCTTCTATAAATACTTCTATAAGACACCAAATAATACAAGTTACATTAGTATTAATAATTCCTGCAAAGGTAATGTGACTTGTCCTTGTTAGATGGCGCTGAAAATTGTATTGTTTATCGCTATCGCTACACAAAATACCTATTATATATGGCACTACATTTTTATTAAATGGATATTATAGCAAATTTTGTAAAAGTTATTAAATTAACTTGAGCTCACAATAATAAAGTAGAAAATTATTTGTCATATTTAAGATTGTCGCATGGTTTATTTACAAGTTTTATAGTGAAAAAATAATAATTCTCGAAGTGAATAAGCATATTATATGGCTTTGAGGATTTTTAAATATCAAAATCCCAACTTACCAACTATTTTGATGAATTGCTTTGTAGTATCCAGCATAATGTTTTCCATTTTCAAGTCACTAGAATTTAAATTGTAAGTAATAAATTAAGAATGACTAATTTACGGATAATACACCTAAAAGTGAAAAAGTTTTAAAAATCAGCAAATTAAAGTGCCTTAACCATCTTTAGTTAATCAGGATTGACAATATAAAGACGTAACAAAAGTCAGATTGAGTGCTGCATATGTCCCACACCAATGGGAAAGTAAGAGTTTGTTCCTTAAATTGTGACGTCATAACTACATAATTGAACATCACGTTATTTCGTATACGTTATCGAAGGTATAGAAAAGGAAGTGAGATTTTTTTATCATCAACTTTGCATTGTATAGTAAATCAATTGTCAAAATTTAGAAAAAAAAGAAACTAAGATACTATCTGCGTAGAAGAACAAAAGAAATTAAGAACTTTCTTCTTCTCACGTAGCTGGAGAAGGCCTATGTCTAGCAGTGGACTTCTTTTAGCTGAGATGATGATGATGAGGGTAGGTACAGAAAAAAACTCTTGGAACATACCGGTGCACGACGCCCCTGGCGTGCATGTGTCGAACGGCTGATACGAGTTGCGCGGCGAGCGAGCGCGCGCGAGCCTCGGGCAGGCCGCGCGCCGCGCCCCGCGCGCCCAGCACGTGCGTGCACAGGTCGCCACCACCCGCCGCCTCCATCACTACGTATAGCCGAGGTCCGTGCTGACACCAACACCACTCATTAGGATAGGTAAAATTGACCAACTTGGGGGCCCTAGTGTGAGTTTATTTCACATCGATCGTCACATTCATTTTATGTGAAGTAAACTCACACTAGGCCCTCAGTATTCTTTTAGTTGGTACTTTATAAACTTAAACGTAACGCAATGTTGGTACGTATCTCTTAAAACATAGCCTAGCAATAAATACGGCAAGTCAGTCATTATCTAATGATTGATAAAAATAAAAAAAAGAATCAACCATCATAGTTTCGTAGAGCGCCGCGATGCACGGGTGCCGGAGCTTGGCCATCACCCTTGGCTCCCGGTGCAGGTTCCGACGAGCATATTCTTCTTTGATACATGTCAAATCAATGATCTTAATGGCCACCTTAAACAAATAACGATCACACGATAATTTATAAGCTATAGGAGATTTTTTTTATCTATAAAAGTTTAAAGTTTTTTTTAAGAATTCGTTTTTTTATGAAACAGAGAGCGAACGAGGAGTTAAAGGCAATGAAAGAATTGGTTTTCTATGAGGCGGTAATATTACGCCAGTCCAGTCGGCCCACGCATGTGCCAAGGCCTGGCTCTCAACGAAAATGTGGTTGTAATCCCAGCTAAATTTAACATAGTTAATATAATAATACGTAAAAAAAGCTGCACCTATTCATAGCAGAAATATAGAAAACTAAGAACTACAAACAATGTGTTGGCATTGTTTGGAACTATATGTTACAACTAGCTGAGACAAGCGGTGTTACCCGCGTTTGTTGTTATATCCGCGGGCAACGCCGCGGGGCGAAGCTAATCTAAAAAAGTAGCCTAAGTTACTCCTTATGTCATCAGCTATCTGCCAGTAGTCCCGTCGAAATGGGTCCAGCCGTTCCAGAGATTACCCGGAACAAACAGACAGACAGAAAGACAGAAAGACAAAAATTGTAAAAAATGTTATGTTGGCATATGTACCGTGTAAAGATACATATGCATTTAGTAAAAAGTGTTTTTTTTAATATTACAAACAGACACTCCAATTTTATTTATTTGTACAGAAATAGGTTACAAAAATGAGACATTTTAATAAGAACTGATAAAAGTTAAACTAATTTGCAGTTTTAATTTTTTAATCTATGAATATTTATTTAGGAAAGGAGTCATGAGAGAAGGAAAAGTTGACACAAACCCTATACAAACCCGTCTGGTCAGCGTAGTATAGTAGGCCAAAACCCCCTTTCTAAGGAGAGGCCTATGTCGAGCAGTGGATCATTACAGGCTGTTGATGTGATGATTCGTACTAACATTCCCGGCTTAGTTATTTGTGTGACGGCTCATGAAGGTAGCAAATTATTACTGAAGACATTCGGTGCAAATTAACTTAAGCAGCTAGATGCCGATGCTAAAGCTAGAGATGATACAGAGAGTGGTATAAAGTAAGTAAGGCCGGTAACGGGTTTGTGACTCCTGAGATGCAGGCGTTCATGGGCGGCGGTAGTCACATTTAGGATACCCGACTGCTCATTTGCCCATGCCATATCATGAAAAAAAGTAGGTTATTTTACATCACTTAGATTGGAAACAGCTTTTAAACGTTGACAAAACTTATCTTTCCATCCTCCACCCTCGCGCTTAAAGCTTCACGAAGCCGAGAGAGAAGACACCATGGAATTAACATGGTCTTTTGTACACTAAGCTGCACTATCTCCTACAATCGCAAATATAACAAAAAAAACGTTTTATGTTATAAATAGTCAATAAAAATATAAGCACTTCACCTAGGTCACGGTGGGCAGCGTCAAATTATAATTACATAAATTGACATATCCTATTTCAACTGATCGCTTCCAAAGATACTTATATGATCAAATAAGAACAAGACCTTACTGTACAATATAGAATAGAATGACCAAGCTTGCAATAATAACATAGCAGCGCAAAAGGCGATCGAATGTCTATGACACGATTAGAAAACCCTAGCCAACAATAGGAATTTCTTCAATTAAAATTAAACCTTAAACCATCTTAACCATTTAATAAAAAAAAAATCTTACGTCACAAATCAAATTTTTTGAGTGAATAGTAATTAAAGTCAGTAAAGTTACCTTTTTTCCTATAATTCTGTGTGTGGCCTCCTCAACTCTGGCGAAGTGTCCCTTCCCTAGTACTTTACCCGTCATCAGATAATTACCAACACTATACACTTGTCCCTTGTTCCTCGTCATGTTGGCAGTCTTCATAATATTACTTTTACTCACTAATTTCGTATCATAATTATATTATTTCAAACGTGAAAATAATGTATTTATACTAAGAATACAAATATCACGTTTTCTCTCACGATTATTGTCGTATTTATTTGTAAACGTCATAATAAATGTTTGGGTACCATCTTTTGTTTGATCTTTGAAATTGGAACTATTTAGTGACAGCCGTGACATTTGATTGAACTATTTTTAACGGCTAAATCTAACTGCCAGCAAACTACATGTGTCGAACGTTGACACAAAATAGTTTATTTACAGATGGTTCATATACGTAGGTTAAGCTATCGTTAAGTGTTGCCATCGACACGATTAGAAGAACCTGATCGTTTCACCAGTCATTGCATTTATTGACTTGTGCCATAGGAGTAAAGAGTGGACGTTTGCTGGGATTATTATTATTTGTTAATTCTTATCTCGCACAACCGATATTTCAAGACCGATATGACCTTTAAGACTTAAAGAAAAGGGGTTTTTCCTGCCTCAAAGGCCGGCAACGCACTCTCTCACTCTCGGCTCTTGAGTTGTAAGTATTTGCGGCGATAGTCACTTACGTTCAGAGGTCCTAGTGCGAGTTTATTTCACATCTATTCAATCGTTACGGTGAGCGCTTTCGGCGCTGCGATTGGCCCATATGTTTTTTTTTAAGAAAATTGCAGTGTTAAATTGCAATAATAATAACTAAGCAGAGCTTGTACAATGGGTACTAGACAACTGATATAAATGTATATTTACTTTTCTTCTTGTAAATACATACATGTTATACATAGAAACACCCAGACCAAATCCAACATTAAAAGTTCATGCACACAAACGTTTGACTTGAGCGGGAATCGAACCGCGACCTATAGAATAGCAGTCCGTTACACAAACCACCATGCCTTTCGGTAGCAAAACAATGAAATTAACTTAAAATATTGTACATATTAGTAAGAATAAATTCCAATCGTTCATACTTACGCTAGTCTGTGTTACTTTACATTTTAATAGCTTTATTGCAGTTAGTTAGGCTAGTGTCATGCGTCTTTAAAAAATACATTAACATTTTGCCCGACCCGGGATTTGAACTCAATAACTCATGATCGCACGCAAAACGCGGGTGTGTAATATTTGGCATAATAACAGATAGTATAATTTATTTATTTGTTTATACATCATGCACATAATATGATGGATATCCTCATATTCCTCCCTTTTTAAATATATTTCACGAACTCGTTCTGTTCTACGACTGCTATTGCCGCTGCCGAAGTCTTCGAATCAACAAAGGATTATCTAGTAGATATAAATTCATTATAACGATGTTACCGGTTACGGTTGAGTCACTACTGGCATTTCAACGGAGAAAAACGCAACCAGTGTGCACGTTAAATCGTTAATCGATACTTTCTATCGTACGTATGTTTACGTACGATACAAAGTATCCAAAGTGAGGTCGGCCTAAGAAGAACACTGAACTTCTACTTTTACAATAGAGGTCTGTGAAGGCGAACCATCACAGTGTATAAAAAAAGTGTCCGTCACAGCTTCAAATTATAGTGGCGCGACGGTAGCAAGTTGTAAGAGTAGAGTAAATTAACAAGGAAAAAACAATTAGTATTTGTTATGGCGCACTTTTCAAAACAAAGTTCGATATTGAATATATTGAAGAATTCAATTTGCTACGCTAGAGGTATTCTGGTCGGTTTTAGAACTATTAGTTGCTGCGTTTTGCTGAACTTTTCGGTTTACCGTCCATAGAAGATGCTCCTTACCCTAACCCTCCATAGGGACAGCAAAAGGTTAGTAATAAGTCCTGTTGACACATTGAGTACGGCATTCTATACAAGAAGAGACTTCTTGACATAAGTAAATATTGTAGTCTTTTGCTTTAAAACATTTAATGCAAAACTAAATTAAAACAACAGAAATAAATAACACATTTTAATTTCTCATATAACAACACTGTTTCGTAATATTTTGTTTCAATAGATAATATGTTATGGAAAGATAATATTATCACGAAATATTCATATCAAAGTAAAAAATATATAGCTTATGTTAAAATATAGGTATGTATAATAATAATAAACTTTAAAAAAATATCCTATTTTAAATTAATGAAAATAGATGTTTAAATTACAACATTAAAAAGGATAATGAAACATAGGTAATCTTATAGTTAGTTAAATTTATTTATTACATTATTTTTGTCACTAGTAAAGTTAAAATCTGACTAATCATTGTTATTCTGTTTGGTATTCCTTTTTATTTTTTGGTGACGGGGTGGAAAATCCCTTCAGATCTTCTGCTCCTTGCGGATCTCCTACTCCTCGGGGACTCAGAAGCCAGGAGTATACGGTGATTCCACTAAAAACCACCCCGACGTCCGGCCTCAGGTGTCCTACTCTGGGAGGATCCGGACCATGTTTTTTCATGTCCTCCCTGAATTGACACCATGCCTAATCAGGCCCTATCCCAGGGGAAAACACTTCCCCCCTCAATCCGGCCGCAGCAATCAATCTGCCACCAGAGGTCCCCACTCTCTGGCGGCCCGCGGCTTTGGTATTCCTATAAACTTATTATATTATACATATAGTAATAATAGACAAGACATGGCTTGCAAAAATGTGGTAAATTTGGGTGGCAGAAGCGGTCCGAGTTAAAAAAAATGGGTTGGTCATTGCAACAGTAGGGTCATATGTGTAATAAATACTAATAGTGAGTCAACTCATGGCAAAGGCAAAGGGGGCCATGGCGCAACTTCATATGATATGGAAGGACAAAAACATCTCCCTGAAAACCAAGAGCAATCTTGTACGCACTCTGGTGTTCTCCTTATTCTTGTGGCCGTATTGATGCATTCGAGATGTGGTGCTGGTGAAAGATGCTGGGTATTCCCTGGACAGCACATCGCACCAACGTGTCAATCCTGCAAGAACTCAAAATACAGACAAGGCTTTCTACCATCTGCCTGCGTAGAGTTCTGGAATACTTAGACCACATTGCCAGAAAGGATGACAGCAATTTGGAAAAGTTAATGGTCACGGGCAAAGTGGATGGAAAAAGACCACGAGGTAGAAACCCGACACGTTGGACTGACCAGATCAGCACTACTCTCGACACCACAGTCCACGATGCTCTACACTCGGCGGTGGATAGGGACGACCAGTGATCCACAGCAAACTCTTACTGCGAGGAAGCGGTCAGGAGGAGGAGTGAGTCAACTCAGCTACTTAGAGGAGCAACGTTGGGGCGCGGTATGAAGGAGAGCGGAGTCCCCCTCCTGTCTGCGGTAGTACCGGACGGCTTCGCTAATCGGTACGCCCGTTTAGGAGTGTCACTTATCAGCTGCACGAGTTTTGTGTAATTTAATTATTTGATTAACTCACAGTAGTACTATTATCTCTTTACGAATAATATAATATAGGAGAAAGAACGTACAATAAAACTATTGATGAATTTGGTATTTAAAATACAGTCTTGTAGGTATTTAGTGGTCTATCAAAGGAGTTATCTCAATATGTATTGATGTTTGTTAGTGAAGGCAAGAAGTAGGTACGGAAGCATGAGTAGTTTTATTTCAAAGAAACCAATCAACTTACTGAGTGTAATGGCTTTTAGATAATAATAATAATATTTCGGACATCTGACACAACGCCATCAAGCAGAGCTTGTACTATGAAAGCTGCATTACAAAATAGAAAAAATATTGGTAATTAATATATTTTAATCCCTATGTATACCATGAATTGATACTTTTGATACACTCGTCATTCTGACGTCAGAATGGCGGATGTATCTATGTTTTCTTAAATTTTCGTTTTAATAGAGGTTCATTTTTTAAGTATAGGTAAAATTTTGTAGTTTATATAAAAAAATATATCTATCTATAATCTATACTATTGGATTTTTTATGGTACACCCGACATTTTAAATCTCACCAAATATAAACCTTCCTTGTGATTATACCGATATGCCACTCCCATATCGGACCAACCCGGTTAGGGTGTTTATTTTTTGCTTATATCAGTGTAGTAATATTTCATAGCGAGTAAAATTTTTATTTTAACGTAACAAAGCTAGATTCAAACAAATCCAAAGTTAGTTAGCAAAAATAGTTCCTGAATTGGTCCAAATAACTCTGGTCCCTTGATCGAAATCAAATATTGTATTACATAAATGACATGAGGTATATTTATAATTCTTTGGACCACTATCTGACTGCCATGACTCTGCTGAAACTGGTAAGCCGGCCTTCTTCAGTGATTTAATCAGTAAAGAAATTTCAGGAGTGACACTTTTAAAAATAAATGCGTTACCACGTATAAGTGATCTGAAAAATGCTTCATTGATAAAGTTGGTGCTGGTTAAACACAAATGTATCATGTCTGATGGAACAGGTACACCTTGGCAGACATAATCTTTGCCAACGTCTACAAAAGTACCACACGAGTATAGCTGTGCCCTACGTAAATAATTTCTTATGTCACTATAAAAATTATTGCTTGACGAGATATCGTCCAATTTTTCAGACAGAACTTCATAACGGACGTGGCTATCCAGTTTAAGCCAAGACTTTTGAAGTTCTAACACTTCAAATATTTCTGTTTCGGACAGATGTTCATAACAATTCAGATACAATGACCTGGCCGAATAAATGGCATCCGATATTTTTGGTGGACCTCGGAAATCCGCAAAGTTATTTACCCACACCACTTGTGAGGGTATACTGTGAGCTACTTCGTTAATTTCAGCAATATCATTGGCCCATAGCGATACGTAATGAGGTCGGTATTTATTTAAAAACGAAAGCAATTCTTTTCTCGTTCTGTACGCTTCAACGATCACTTCGGATGGCTTTGGATCTGTGATGTCTAAAGCATCTATAAGAAATACTCGATTATTAAAATGCAAAATGTCAGATGTCGACTGGGTATTTTTACCTTTCCCAGTTATATTTAAATTACACTTCCAAGTAAGGGCGTCCTTAAATTGCTTGTAAACATTTTCTTGTACCAGAATTCTTCTTAACCTCCACGGTACCTGCAACACGACAAAATTTATAAAAAAATAGTTTCTTTTCAAAGTAATAGACAATTGGGCTTGGCTTCTAATTGTTTAAATGAATGTCCTACCTCCTTAGATGATTTCAGAAACACGTCGACGGCAGAATCCACATCTGAACATTCAGATATTACGCCAATGGCACCAAGGGCTTCCTTTCCAGCTATGAAGAAAATTATAGCTTTCAAGTAATAAATTTACATTTAAAAAATATCAGCTTGCGAGTGCTTTGCTATCATTAATATAGCTTTTAGTTTAGGCGACTTCAAAAAAGGAGGCGGTCCTCAATTCAGTTTTTCGTTGTTATTATGTTTTTATGTCAGTTACCTCAGAAATTCGTCAGTAATGAAGCATTTTGGATATATTATTTATTTGAAAGGCTGATTTGGTCTTATTAAAATTTGAAGAAAAATTCAACTTAAAATAACAAAACTTAGGAATGCATAATACAGTTTATTATAATTATTCACGATAAAGGGGCACTGAAGGCGGTCAAACTTTTTTAAAAAATTAAAAATGTCAATCAATTCTGTTTGAACATGGACAAAAAATATTATATCCCTAAGGTACTATAGTTTTTGGATGTAAGGTACCTGATCATCATTATCATCATCAACGGTTGTTTAATAGTTCACTGCTCGACATAGGCCTTTAGAAAGGAGGTTTCAGCCTACTATACCAGACGGGTTTGTGTCAGGTTGTCCTTCTCTCTTCAGTGCTGTTCTCCAGCGTAGTTTGCTCCCTTAGTCGGCTCTTACGATACCCACGGGATAAATACGGGTGCTGACACTCCGTATTCTTAATCCGCCACCACACATATAGGTAACTAATTATTCAAAATATCAAGATGATTGTTTGGAGTAATTAAAGCGAAGCAGTGGCGTCAAAGCGTAACAAACAATACGGCTATTAGATATATTACTATAATAAAATAATATCACATACCATGGTGTTCCATAGCATTACCGCCAAACTCTGTTACCACTGCCAAGCTGAAAGTAAAAATAGTAATATATAGGCGGATAAATGATAAATTATAAAAAAGAAATGTTATGGTTGCATTATAGATACATTATTATAGATAGCGTAAGGGTATAGTGCGCATTTTATTTCGTAGATTAGACAGAGCAGGCTTAGCTAATTATAAAGTGAATTTTTCTGTGAAAATTTAAAGAAAACTTAAGACATCAGAATTGCAAAGAATTCATAATTAAACATCACATCAACAGCCTTTAATAGTTCACTGCTCTACATAAGCCTCTCCTTAGAAAGGAGGTTTTGGCCTACAATACCACGCTGGCCAGACGGCTTACTAAAGGGTTTGTGTCAAGCTTTCCCTTTCTCTGCAGTGCTGTTGTTCTGCGTAGTTTTTTCCCTTAGTCGGCTCTTACGACACGCACGGGATGAATAGGGGTGGTGACACTCTGTATTCTTAATCCGTCACCACATAGACGTAATTAAACATAAATGGGATAAATTTTTCCCATAAATAAAGTAAATGTCAAGGCCATTAAATTTTTATTTTTTATTTTCATAAACAAATACTAAAAAAGTCTTGTTTTTGCTGCGCGCTTTTTTAATAATTTCAACATGTGTAAATACTTACCCTGCATCATTACACAGTGTTGTGAAGAGGTAACATACCTCTGCAGTTTCTTTGCTGGCGGCTATGGAAGGTATGCTGTGAATGTCAATTAAATACACACACGCCCTGACCACGAATCCCAAATGAAGTAGTGGTGTCTCTCGGCTCATTGGAAAATGTGAATAATTTAACATACGTATAACTGAAAAACAAACATTAAAATTTTCGATTAATAACTTTATGGTATATGATTATCGATTGAAAGCTTCGATTAAACAAACGGATTCGATTAAACTTCGAATAATTTTTACTGCCAAAAATGATTCGATAATGTTTTAAAGTGTTGTTTAAGACAAGTGTCAAAGTTAGTTTTTTATGCCTTTTAGATTAGCATACTCTAACACTTGTTTTTTTTTTATTTAACTTAGATCTAAGATTTACACTTTATACCTTACTCGCCGAACGTAATTGTATAAAGGCGAGACGCGTTTGCATTAGTCATACATAAGTAAATCAATCATTTCTGTTTGGATTAGGATTGACTGCTTTATTAAGTTACTTCTAGGTATACCTACAAATTTTGATCCTCATTTGGCCACAGTTACTATTTCAACTACATGGCATTCTTGTGTACGCAGAACACCATTAGTTAAATGATATATAGTTGTGGGGCAACTAAACTTGTTACGTCGGACATCAAGCATTGACCAAAACACAGATTATAACGCATTTATTAAATGCACAAAACACATTACAATCAATTAAAACATAACTCATAAATGCATACATTAGATCTGTATCGTAACGTAACTCATATGTGCACAAAGAAAAACAATAAAGATTATACAAAAATTATCTCTGATTCATAATATTGTAAGTAATATAACAATAAGTAACAAAGTAAGCAAGCAGATATTGTGATATAGATTTGGATGCTTATCAATCATCAATTTTACTAATTTTGTATATCTGTTATAGTTATAACCAAAAACGTCAAGGAATTTATTGATTTTTGTGATATCATTATATTGACGGGACACTCTTGTTGATAGATTATAGTATAGTAAGGGCAAATATATTCGTATAATTAGCCCTATGGGCACTAAATTTAATCCTGAAACTGATTTGAGAAAGTAACTCTGGTGAATCAATAATAATAGATAAACCAAATCGACATAAGTGCGTTGGGTTTCTAATGGCTGAACCTTGCATTTTTTGACTGACCAGGGCTTTCTCGGTAGTTGAGAATTTTAAGGAACCTTCTCTGAATGCGTTCAATATCATCAATTTGTACCTTGTAATTAGGCGACCATATTCTACTCATATTCTGTTTTGTAGATATGAGCAGATCTATCGGTACAAGCTTCCGTGGACACCGTAGGAGCTATTTTTCGACAAAGCAAGTGATGACTCACCTTGTCGAAGGCCTTGGAGAAATCAGTGTACACAGAGTCGACACTAACAGGTTGGTGATTGTAGACGAGCCATTAACAAAACCATCTGAGAGAATTGGTTTAACATGACTGTATAGGATTGTAAACTAGAGATTCAAATATTTTTGCAAAGCATTTTGCTTTTAGGCCTATAGTTCTCACAATTTGACTTTTCACCACTCTTATATAGGGGAATAATATGTGCTGTTTACCAAAATTTAGTTAAGTTGCCACCATTACGAGTAATAACTTATTAAAAATAATTAAGGAAGTGATAATTCCTTTCCAAAAGAGGGAGGTAAAAGATCAGAACCAGGTCCCTTATTTACATCTAATTCTTTTGTTTTATTTAATATTTCACTCCCCTCTATTGAGATGTGAGACAGTGAATTCAAAGAACTTTCACTGCATAGTCTGCTCGGTTATTTGACTGATGGTGTTAGTTTTATGGTCAGTTTTTTTTTCGAATACTGAAGTAAAATAACGTTTCACGTTATTTTTCATCATTTCGTTATTTTTCATGTTTTCTTTTTAACGTTTCATGTTATTTACTTCAGTATTTGAAAAAAAACACAAAGAGACCACAAATCTAGTGACCATTGGACGATGAAGTTCTCACATAAGTCATAGTATTAGGCACTGTTGCTGGACCTTTCCGATTATTGACAAATCGCCAAAAAAGATTCGATGGTCTACTTTAAGGATCTGTTCTTCAATGTCTGAGACATATTTCTCATAGCATTTTTTAGTAAGAGTTTTACATCTATATCGAAGTAACGAAAAGACATTGTAATCACGAGGGCTACCATACTTTTTATATGGTTTATGAAATTTGTTTTTTTTTTACATCTTCTGTGAAACTATTGCAATTAACAAAAAAATAAGTTATTTAAAGTTACTTACCATCAGTAGTGCTTGTTTTAGGAATGTTATTGACATTGCAGGATGACAGATAATATAACTGTTGAATGATCAGATTGAGTTGTGCTTTTGTGTCTTCTATTGGAATTTCTCTATTCAAATACTCTAGTTGCGCAAATAGGTTTTGGTTTTCCTTCAATAGAAGGGCTAGATGCTGAAGGTTACGTGATATTTCTGGATATTCTTGATCCAGAGTGTAGTCAAATGATGTAAGGAGATCCATGCCATCAAAATAAATAGCTTCATTGGTTTGTTCTATATTTAAAAAATGATCTTTTTTCAAATAATCCTTAAACGAAAAATATGAAAATTAATTTAATAAATGCTCAATAGCCTTTAACAGTCCACTGCCAGACATATGCTTCTGCTTAGAAATAATTTTTTGGCCTATTATAATACATGCTGCCTGGCCAGATGGGTTGCACAAAAATTTTAAGAAAAAAAAACTAAAAACTTGACTCACAAACAATGAAATAACTTGCAGTTTGTGATACGAGTAAAAACGAACTAATCAAAGTCAACTATATATTAGTATTTTTAAGCTCTTTTCAAGTATTTATTAGCATTTTGATGGTCAACTATATAGCTATGTTAGTTGGAACTATATTCTGATTCTTTTTCTACATAAAGAACATCATGCTACAACAAAATGTTGCAAAAACAGGGAATATTATATACAGAATAGTAAAATATCAGAACAAGCGGTTTGTTCATAAAAAGTTGTAAATTTAGAACAAGAATGTTTTATTTAAACTATTTGGGTGTATGAAAATAAATGTAATTACTGTCAGGATACCAAATTAATAAGCTGAATAGTAATCTATTAAGTATGATATAATTATCAAACTAATTTGCTTAGCAACAGCCTTGAGTTACGGTATATTAAAGCTGAGATCCCTTTGACAAGCTGATTTAATTTGAAGGGCATTAGTGACAAGTTACTTGTCATTAGGGGACCATTTTTTTTATGAGTTCTATTTTTTTTAGTAAATTTAACCAGGCAGAGAAAACAACCTAAGAGCCTAAAGTTTTACCTAGGTTGGCTCGATTTTAATTGTATGGGTTTTATGTTTCTTGAGCTCAGGAAAATATTACTCTAGATATTATAAATATGAAAAACATAATATTTATTTTTTAAAAAGTTTTAGAAGTACAAAAATGGTTTTATCATGAAGTCCGACTGATAGACACGACCATTAAAGTATTATAGCTAGGGATTTATACTATAAGAAAATATTTTTGTCTTTGTACAATACCTGCGCTAGAGTGGTGTCAATGTCCATTTTATCAAACTTTAATTCCATATTATACATACAGTTACTGATGTTCACTTTGGAATTATCTTATTGTCTTGCAAAACTAAATATAACTATGGCTGTCATGTGTGATAAGCACGCTCAAGTAAGTAATAACATGCAATAACAATAAATTATACCGCTTTGTGAGTCCCGTACTGATAAGAATGTCAAAAGTCATCAACAAAGCACTAAACAGTGTTGCCAGAATTTTTCATTTTTTTTCTGGTAGTCGTAAGCTGGTAAAGTACCTATTGGTGGCTGGTAAGTATAGTCTAAAAAAAAACAAATCCCATTAAATATTACAATCTAGACTAAAACCACAGCCTTTAAAAGTTAATGATTATGGAAAAACAGTTCTGTCACTCTAAACTTCCCTGAATTAAATAAAAGTAAATATTTTGCAACTGTAAGTACAACTGTATGTAACAATTATTGCGAACAATTGCATGCAATGCAGGAGTAGTGATGAAGTACGTACGTTTTCACTTTATGTGGATGTCGATACAATAAGCACTAGAACATAATATATTTGATAATTTTTAGACTTGCAAATGGAGGTCCTGTTCTTTATGCTTAGTACCTTTGAGTTGACTCCGGTTCAGCTACTTAATTTTGGAAACCCGGTATTTCTATTAAAATATAATCATAGGTATTTACCTATGAATACTTAGATTAAAAAAACAGTATTTTCAGATTTAAATTATCTGTGGCTTGGCGCTCAATTCGAAATTCAAATAAATTTTATTCGAAAGCCGAAAATTGTTATTTAAGTTTAAAATTCAGTCATTTGTTTTAGATAGTGTCTGGTTTTTGTGAAATTGTGGTAGATTTTTGCACCATGGATAAACTAAAAATCGGAAAGATAAAAAGCTAGATAAGGAGATGCTACACGAACTAGGCGATCATCAGCGAGTCAATTTTATAGGTATTTATAGGATTTAATTCAAATGTATAGTTTTCAGATTTTTCCCTACACTTGTATCATAAGACGGTATTAATTGCCAAATTTTTAGTTCTAGGTCAATGGAAAATACCCTATAAATTTTGATTCCCTTGAGTGAGTCGAAATATACGTTTTTTGTGGCATAAAGGGCCGTATCTTGTTCTATGTTAACTTAGAAGTTTGATTTTTTCAAAGCTTCAAGAGACTGAAGACCTGAATATATCATTTTAAATTCAACTCGATGCCTCCACGCGTTCTCGAGATAAAGGGTCTTGACAGACAGACAGACAGAAGACGGACGGACGGACGGACAACAGAGTGAACCTATAAGGGTTCTTTTTTTCCCCTTTTAAGGTACGGAACCCTAAAAATACCTATTACCAATGTGTACATTCTTCTGCTTTTTACTGAATCTAAGTCTCAAAATTATGATTTTAAGTAAAAATACACGGAAAGTATAAAAAAGGCTATTTATATGTGAACCCAGCCGCTGGGTTGTATATGGCGGCAGTTTGCGGCCCGCCGCCATGAAATGTCTCGTGGGAAATTAGCGACGAATGCGATGCTCTCGCGGACACGGGAAAGCTCCCAATTTTGAAGTTTTTAAACTTCGAACGATGGTTGGTTGCCTTGAGACTGAGTACGGTTTCTTTTTAATAGGCGCGTAATTTACGGTTTCGATTACATTTTCGTGTTTGAATTAGAAATAAAATAACACATTGTTTGTAATATATATATATATATATATATATATTACAAACAAAAACCGGTGCTAAGCTAACACCGGTTTTTGTTTGTAATATATATGTATATATATATTACAAACAAAAACCGGTGCTAAGCTATTTTTTTCATTGCAAGAGTGAAGGAGGTTATCTGAGGCCCAACTCCCTAATTCAGTTGCCATTCATATGTGCCTCATGAATTAATTACAAGTGCTAAAGCAAAAAATATAATTAAGCGTAATACGATCTTATTTCTAATTCAAACACGAAAATGTAATCGAAACCGTAAATAACCGTAATATATATACATATATATATATATATATATATATACATATATATATATATATATATATATATATATATATCCCTTTTTTAAATAATAAATAAGCATGCATTGATGCATTAGTGACTAAAGCAACAAAATCTTTCATTGAATTGCTCATTTAATAATGTTACCGTAACTGCTTGTGTTGTACGCTTAGATCTTTTAAACTAAGCAACGGATTTTAATGCGGTTTTCACCAATAGAGACAGTGATTCAAGAGAAAGGTTTATATGTATAATACATACACATTATAGGAGAGAAAATCCGAGAATTTCCAAGATTTGTTGTAAAAACATGTTTTTGGGCACTTACATTGCGAACGCTGACTAAACCTTACGAGATAGACCAAAATAATGTACTACGGAATTGTATATCTTAAAAAGATCTACAAAAAAGTTTGCAAGGGTTTATTTCTATCTCCTAAGGATAACCCACAGTAACCATTTTTACCTTTAAAATATTACAAAAACATAAAGGGTTATTTACTCAGCTATTGTGAACAATACTTTATTATACGATTCGTTGTGCATTTAATGTAGATAAAAAATTGCTTTTACAGTATATCATTAAAATGAATATTTTAGAAGATATTAGAGATTTAAACTTGCGTCGACCGTCGAGCCGTGCGTCCGTCCCGGGTGGCAGCGGCCGGCAGTATCGGAGCGGGCCTATAAATATTGCATTTAAAGACCGATGTCCTGTAGTATAGTCCTATCATAGTAATAACTAGCTGAGACCCGCGGTGTTACCCGCGTTTGTTGTTATAACCGCGGGCGACGCCGCAGGGCGAAGCAAGTCTAAAAAAAGTAGCCTAAGTTACTCCTTATGTCATCAGCTATCTGCCAGTGAAAGTCCCGTCGAAGTCGGTCCAGCCGTTCCAGAGATTACCCGGAACAAACAAACAGACAAAAATTGAAAAAAATGATAATTTGGCATATGTACCGTGTAAACATACATATGCATTTACTAAAAAGCGGTTATTTTAATATTACAAACAGACACTCCAATTTTATTTATTTGTATAGAGTATAGATGTAATTAATTACTCCACACTGTCACCACGTTAGGTTAGTAGTATTAGTGGCTCGGTAGTATAAAATAAAATTTCACAAATTAAATAACGACATTTTGTAAATTATTCGGTAATTCTGCGGCAATCGCTCTCAATAGAATTTTAACAAGTCTTTTAGTTGTTGGGTTGTCGACACTCCGTCCAGGTTCTCTAGAACACGTCTCTGGAGCATGTCCCATGCGTGCTCGATGGGATTGAGGTATGGCAAATGTGCAGGCCACGGCAATACCCGGATGTTTTCCATTGCCAAGTTATCCCTGAGCCTCCGAGCTCACGAGCAACAAAAAACTTTAGATGGATCCGAAACGGGGAACTAGCCATTTCCTATCTAGAAAGATTGGCACTGCCACATTTTCTGTCACATTCCGCAATGTCATTGGCTTGTTGGTTGCTACAAAGTCGCTAAATAAGCCTCCGTTTACATCTAATTGTTTTGTCTGAATACATCGATTTCAAATAGAAGAAAAATGTATAATGTAAGCGAACATATCGCTCTATGTATTCGCTTTTCGGGGCCGCAGTGACGATGGGGGCCCTGGGCACGGGAACCGTGTGCCTTATGGTAAAGACGGCCTATGTCCAGCAATAACTATTAAAGGCTGTTGATGTGATGTGTGAAACGAACGCAATTTTGTGAGACGTGAATATTTTCAGTTGCACAATTTGACGTTCAACTAAAATCCGGTTAGACTGCCAGACGGAAGGAGGTAACTTCAGCTGCTATGCAATGTATACTCGTTCACCTCAAACCCCGAGCACTATTTGGTTTAAATACTGCGCGTAAGTTAGCAGCCAACTCATTTTGCTCCAACGAGTGGCAGAAACAGGACTTTTGAATGCAACTGAATGTAGCGTAAATTCTGCGACTCATTCTACAAGACAAACAATTACGCTCCTTTGACCTAAAACCCTAATTTGTTAGTTATTTGTTTGTGTCTTATATTACGTCGTACAGATGTTCATATGCAATATCTTGAGGAGTATTTTGTCAAACTTGCAAAGTAAAAAAGTTAACAGATGAAAACTTTTCAAAGAATTAAAATGGCTGTTGTTGGGAGGGCGCGCGCCGCTACCGTTGAGTTGAGATTAAAAAGAACTTTAATTGATTACGTGAGCCAGTGAGCCCGAGCAAAAAAGGCACAACGTTCGCGGGCCAACTAATTAACGCTCGATTTAAAGTTGAAAAGAAATCTGTGAAGAATCCTCCGCTCATAGTAGGTTTATACCTACTTTTTTGTTCTGATAACTTAGGCAGGGCCGCATCACCATGCGGATGAAATGTAAGTCGACAAACATAGAAATGAATACATTCACCAGTTGCTTATCAAATCATAGACTTGTCAGGCTCATGTTATGCTGCATCCATTGCCATGACAGGAACTCAAATTTCGGATTGATTGTATTACCCTTTATTCCATCCCATCCCCGCTTCTAGACGTTTCAGATGCCTTCAAGCACTAAACTTGCACGCACGCTATTATATTATTACGGTAATTACATCTGACTATTCTATCTATATATATTTGCTTGTCCTCACTGACTGATTCATCCACGCAGAGCCTAAGCCGCAAGGGCTACATACTTGGGGGTCGTCTACTCGTCTGTAGATGGCCCGAGGTAAGTCGTGTCACCAGGGACTTCTTTCTAGGGTATACCTGGTTCCCCGGCTATTACTCGTAGTACCCGAGCGTGGTATCCGAGGGGACATCCGCACGGAAAAAAAAACTTCAAATTTTGGAAGCTGATGCTTTTTATGTTGTAAGTACCCACTATTATTATTGACAGGACTAAACAATTTTTTAGTGATTTTTAGTTTATTTTAGAGAGTATTCGAACAAAAGGATTATCACCATTGTATTTCTCTTTGTTTTTTTAAGCATTCACGAAGTGCAGTTGTCATTACAGAGCCTTGCTTCA